GCTACTGATCGTGAAGCTCCAAAGTTTAGTTATCATCCTGAACATTCCTTAGCACGTTCCTCAGCTGCTATGGTTCAACGATGGGGTATTGTTTTAAGTGCCTATGACTATACAGTTCAGCACAGAAGTGCCAAACAAATTCAACATGTTGACTACATTTCACAACAATCATTACAAGGTAGACCTGCTAGTACTTCAGACTGTTTTTTAGTGCAACTTTTACCGGTAAGACGTCCAGATCTCATTGGAGAAACTCGTAGATATTTTGTATGTATACTCAACGCAATAGGGAAAAGTTGGAGTGCTGATCGGAAACGTAGATTTCCTGTCTAGTTTTCAAAGCGGGATGAGCTATCCACTACTCTCGGTATTTTGTGTTTAAATGGCCGTGTTGTCATTCCTCCTTCACTGCGAAAATCTGTCTTTGAAGATCTTCAAAGCGGACATTTAGGTGCTCAGAAAGTGAAGTCCTTGGCAAGGCTCACATATTAGTGGTCAGAGATAAATGCAGATATATGTCGTACAGCAGACAATTGTGAAAAGTGTCATAAGTTGAAAAATCAGCTTTTGAAGTGGACTCTATGGTCTGTATCGTCCGAGACCTAACATAGAATTCATGAAGATTACTTTTGTTCAGTTCTTGGCAAACACTATGCACTTGAAGTCATTGATTCTTTTTCTAAGTGGCCTAATTTTTTTCACCAATTCACCAAATTCTGATTTCACAATCCAAACACTAAGAAAGTTGTTTAGTCGAGAAGTGGTTCCCATGGTGTTGGTGACAGATAATAACTCTAGTTTTGTTGCAGTAACAGTCACTATCTGGTTGAATGACATAGGGTGCAGACATCTGTTCACTGTTTCCAGAAAACCTTTTTCTAATGTTGAGGCAGAAAAGTTTGTCAGGAAATTGAAAACTGCTATTGATTTTACTGCCGCCTCAACATTTAATGGGCTGGAGTGAGGAGTAGATAATTTTTTACTCCAATACGGAAACGCTAAACATTCTGTGACGAAAGAGGCTCCATCAAAGCTATTAAAATGAGGAATTCTTCGTTCGAATATGAAATGTTTCGAGTCTTCAAATGTTGCACACTATCGTGGAAATGATCTTTGACCAGTCACGGGGATGGTTGTGAAGAATGTTGAGAAATCTATGGTGCAAATATTAGATATCAATTATTTAAGCAAACACAATCAATAACTTGATCAAATACAATTCCAGAAACTAGGTGAGTCTGTTCCAATTTCTGTTGTTCATTCTAATACTAATTAGTACATTTTAGATAGTACAGAGTCTGTAGTGGCATTGGACCATAACCACACAATCCTCAAAGCTGAATACGAGATTACTCGGAAAATAGATATTCAATATTTAACGCGGAGAAATACCTAACGATGGAAAAGGCGCGAACAAGGAATTGAATGAATTGGAGATGATCGAATGGCATGGCTCGGCTATGCAGGCGTGGTCCCTCTGAATATTACCTTATATCTTTTATTCATATAAAATATATTGTTCTTTCTCTAGCCTAAGCTTGTTCTTCATCATGTGTTGGTAGTTGTTACGATACAGTGAGTTGGTGTAGACGATCATGTGACTTTCACGTAAGATCTTATAGATTAGGCAGTTATATCATGACAAATCTACAATTTTAGGATTAGGTCTATTGTTAGAGCAGTACTAATATCATAGTAGACCATAATTCTACATTGGTGGTGGTTCTGCCCGGGTCATATTTATTAGAGCTTGATGCTTAAACAAGTCTATGTCGCTGAAGCGTGTAAATGTTATTAAAGCTTGTTAACGAACCATCAAAGCTAATTAGTTAATTTTGACGACCAGTTTTTATTATCGATTGAGCTAGTATGTCATGAGAACTAATCAATATAAGATTACGATAACGCATGTGAGCATTAATCAGAGGACTATTAGAATAATGGGTTTACACAAATAATCGATTGAGAAGGTCAAGGTGGAAATACGGGTTAACAACAATAGGTTGCGATTCTTCAGTCGGGCTCACCAATGCAGAATTATGGTCTACTATGATATTAGTACTGCTCTAACAATAGACCTAATCCTAAAATTGTAGATTTGTCATGATATAACTGCCTAATCTATAAGATCTTACGTGAAAGTCACATGATCGTCTACACCAACTCACTGTATCGTAACAACTACCAACACATGATGAAGAACAAGCTTAGGCTAGAGAAAGAACAATATATTTTATATGAATAAAAGATATAAGGTAATATTCAGAGGGACCACGCCTGCATAGCCGAGCCATGCCATTCGATCATCTCCAATTCATTCAATTCCTTGTTCGCGCCTTTTCCATCGTTAGGTATTTCTCCGCGTTAAATATTGAATATCTATTTTCCGAGTAATCTCGTATTCAGCTTTGAGGATTGTGTGGTTATGGTCCAATGCCACTACAAGTCTTTATCCAGTGCATTGTCGGATAAACACAGGATGAACTTAAGAAGGCGTACAATCGATTACAGACACTAAGACTCCAATTTAAGCTGTGACGGTTTTGATGTTTGTATGAAATAACGATTCCTTAGTACTTGCTGAATGCTTCATTTCGAATTGCAAATACAGTACATTCGTCTATGTTTATCTATTACTTCTTGATCCAATTACATTATTTTGATATCTCTATTTTGTACTGTAATTCTAATGCTCCTAGTTGTCACATCACCTTGACAAATAATACCACCGAGCTATTCAATCAATAATTGTTCACTCAGTAGTCAAATCTAGATTACATCAAATAGATAAATTGACAAAGGGTATGAGTGAAATACTAGGTGCAACAAATAAATATTCTTCTAACCTCTGTAGCTGGATTACTTACAGACTGTTCGAAAGAAAATATTTAATTTCGTTATAACACTGAGTGTTTCCAATTCTAGAAGAATGCTTCAGTTCACATTCAAGAATGCGCAGTTCCAGTTAACGCAATGAACACAATCAAAAAGAGGTGTAACGTGTGTTATCGGCGTTTATTTGAATGCAGGAGGGATCTAAAATCAACAGCATGCTAGCCAGGATCAACAAAAGTCTGAGGAGGGAGATTACAACATGCAACCAACAAATGCGGTTCTGTTACATAAGGGTAAATTTATTTCAGAAACAGTCTCATATATCACTTCACACATGCAGTTGTTCTTCCTCATGTAGCACATTAACCCTGTCGTGCCATGTAATAAAAATATGTATTCACATCAATAAGACTACAAACAATAACTTTTAATATTGTTACACTATCCCGTCTGTCCGTGAAACACTATCCTCAGTGCCTGGTTGAGGACAGGGGGAAGTCACACCACCTTCTGATGGTACTTCGAAATAGCTGGTGGTGAGTGGGGAGTTAGCAAAGTAGTTATCTAAATGCATTGTCTCTCGGTCCGGTTACGACTGGCTGTAGTATGTTGTTGCAACGCCGCTCAGAGGCCGCTGAATGTCACGCGACACAAAGGTAGTTGGCGATCGAACAAACACAATTTCGCAGAGACTTTGCAATGGAGAATAGAGCTTGCTGCATGTTTCTGTGTTATATAAGATAGCACTGCTGGGATAGCTACTTCACCATCTAGGTCTGTCATCGTTCAGTCAGTCAGTCAATAACAACGTAGAACTTCGTACGTACGTACATCAGTTCGAGTTGCCACACCACATTAGCACAGAGATGAAGTGGTCGATTCAATCGAGTCACACCAATTTTACTAGTCACAGTTTTCTAGTTACTGATTCGTTGAACGTTTATTATTTATGCGTTAAGGGGTGCGGATTTGTCTATCCATCTATCGAATAAAATGTATGCTTATTATCAGACAGACCAGAACAATAAACGTACGCGTGAAGCGGGAAAATTAACCCTTTAGTCAGCTCTACAAATTTGTGTCTCAAGTTATGCAACTTACTTACATAACGATTAAAAAGATTAGGATGAAATAGTGCACAAATATGATGTACACGTGAAAACGTGCAACGTCCTTGGAAGATTTAACAGGGACATGTACAAAAAATGTTCGTGTGTAGCAGATCACCAAGATTAACTCTGATTGGTGTAGGAAGAGGATAGATAGTAACTAATTATTCATATGCTGCCATTCCATATACGGAGAGGTTGGCATGTGGTACTACAGACTACATTTAAACTAACTCAACAGCCCACTGAATAATCAAACTGATTGGATGAACGACAGTAATTATCAAATCAAAATGAATTCTCGTCACATTGTATGAATAACCATGACATTCATCATTCGGTACAAACCACAGACGATTCACTCTCCATTACAACGCTGTAGTATTTAAACACAGTCTGCTGATAGAATTTGGCTGAATTGCAAATCTCATAGCATATTTCATATTACACGTCTCACTGTTGCCTGAGATTATCTAGGAAATACACGGAAATAAAATATAATCGAACAGTAAAGGATCTGGTAAGAATTTGCACTTTGGACAATCATGATCGAGCTGAAAGAAGTTGGGACATAGCGCTGTGTCACACATGTTGTATCATTCAAGCCCTTTCAAGTTTGTCTATCCCAGAAGTATTTTCTTATCGAAGAAACATCGGGGAAGCATGTATCAGAATCAGAAAAGACGAACAAGCGAAAATATGAGTCGGTCACTTATGAGCTCATCGTCTTTTGATAAAAGCAGGTGACAACATTTGAAAATGATATTAGCGCTTGATGAGAGCTACCTGATAATCAAAACTATGTGTCCACATAGTAAGATGTCAAATGAGTTAGAACTTTCTCACAACAAAACAATAAGTTATCAAACCCATCGCGCTTTGGCCACCCTACGTTGTTGTTGTTGACAAACCAGCAACAACATGTTTGTTTTCATAAAGACTATGAGGCAAAAGACGAACAAAAACATTTCGCCGGTGTCATAGTTTGAGTTTTTTTTAGCTCCAAAATGTTCACCTATTGAGTGGATTTGTTTGAGTCAGTTAAAACCAATTTTTGAATATTTACATCGGATTGTGTATCAGTTGAATATCTTTTCCGTTGGATTGTATTTCCGGTGTTTCTGTTTTCATTCTTGTATTACTGATTCTAATGATAAATTACTTTTCTGAGTAAGTTTTTCCTTCCTCATAGATTCATTTTTTCTGGTTTGTCCATTTTTGTATCTTATTTCCTGCATATACTTTGTAAACTTGATATTAAGTGAAAATAAAGAATATTCAGTGTGAGGTCGTTGTGAATTAGTTTTATCCTCAAGACATGTAAAACTGTCTGGGGGCCAGTGATTAGTCGAAAATGTCAATTAAAATCTGACATACCATAAACAATAGGGTCATCTGAAAGATTTACTTCGTCGAAATTATCGGCATTACTATTTGTATTTAAACAACCTTAATCAAAACAAAGACTGGAGAACGTAACAGTATAATTACTCTAAGCAGAAGCTTGAGCTGCCTGTTATTCGATAACCATATAAGTCAATTAGTAATTCTTCGACTGGTTATCTAGGACTTCTGGGACTGACTCATTTTGAAGAAAAATAAAATGATTCCATCCTAGAAGTTATACAGACCTTACTTTCATTCCATTGTCTCAATTACGGAACTCAGCTATTCAATACTGCAGTTACTTATCAGAAATATCCTCAACAGTGAAGAAATTTATAATTTGAGCGTTTTCGAACATTTCAAATCAAGTATCAGTGGTCCATTTTTGTCTAACAAAACCTTCTAAGCTTTCTATTCAAAATTTGTTTCTCTAGTATTGAAATCACAATATCTACCTATTGGAACTCCGTGTTCAGCAATACTCGATATCGAAACTTTATTGAGTTTCATCACAGCGTTCATTCGCGGATAAGATAGTGGAGTTGACACTACTAATATGAAAACCACAGTCGTATGATGACTTGATGAATGTACTAAATTGTTTGCAAGTGCAGAACGAGTTATCTATGGCTAGATATATAGAGCTAGTTGTTTCACTGGTCATCAATAATAACCAAATCTAGACTAAGGATCTCATCAAGGTACTCAGTGACATAGCATATGTGGAGTATTTAACACTCCTTAGTGAACATGATTGTTGTGAGCGTGTACTTACCCGCAAAAAGTGTTAAGAAAGTTTTCATTCGTCTTTTTGGGTCAATATTCCAATAAGTATCATGAAATAGCCTATAGTATTATCGTCCTTACTGTTTTCTTATACTCTGTGTTTCATGCCAACCCATATGTTGCTGCTAAACCCTACCATTTGAATTGACAGTCATCTGTACAACAATAGGCTGAGCGCTAATGCAAAACACGATGACCAAGCTTAGTGATGTAGAAATTCCAGATCTATATAAGCATTCTCCAGTATCAATAAATAGATCAGTGAATGAAGACTAGAATAACCTAACCACATAGATTCAATAGACTGGAATGGATAAATGAGGTTCACAATTGTATGTAAGGCATTTCCCATGCATTGCTATAAGCTAAGAAACATATTTTATTCTACTTTTCAATCAAAGCACCTATAAATTATGTTTCCCTCTTAGGTTTAAGCAAATAGCAACTGACAACATGATGACTAGTAATAGTTATCATGATGACTTACTGCTTCATTTAAATCTAATTTTGCTTAGAAAAATAGAAATATTGTGTTAACGTCCTGTGTATTAATGAAAAGTTTTAATATCTTGTTATCTTGTGCATAAAATTAACTTATGTGCTATCAATTAATCAGCTTAGGATCTTTCAATTGGTTAGTCATGGATAAGTGAAATTAATAAAACACAAAATTGTGTAAATCACTACTCACAAACAAAACACCTATACAAATCTAATCTAATGCTGTGATAGGACTATAATAATATTCGGAGATAACTATGTTTTTATTGACTGATCAGACAAGAGAGGTTTTTAGTCATCTCGGTCCTTGTATCAGAAATGTTCACAACATGTCTCCATCTAGTGTAAGTCTCAGGCTTTCTGGAAATGCATATACACATATTGTTTTAATATGTGAGTTTATAACTTTGAAGAATCCATTAAAAATTATTTTTTATCAGCAGTAACTTCTTTTTTATGAACTAACTTATGTAATCTGACTATACGGAGTTATTGAATTGCTTAATTTGGCCGATCCATTGATCTAATTAGATTCTATAACTCTTTTATGAAAACGAGTTCATCTTGAATATAAATTACAGATATATATATTAAATTCCAAAAAAATGGTAAAGCTAATCATTTATAACGGCATCATCATATCCAGATAACTACAAAAATAATTGCTCTGAGTTTGAGTTATTTTAAAGAGTACATATCACTCCAAAATATGAGATATTGTACGTTCGCATAATTCGATTCGGGTTTGGTCTTTTTCATGAGTGTTAATGATACTAACAAGTCATCAAAACCAAAGTACGTGGACATAGGCTTTAACCTGTAACTCAATAGATTAATGCCGAGTCCTGCATCCACAAAGTTACTCCAAAAACGTGAAATTCCAGAAAAGTAAATCAGATGTACGAAGTCCGTTAAGGAAAGCTAAATAACTCAATTGATTTATATCCTGTATTTCGGTTCATAATAAGTTTGCAAATAAAAGATTATGTTGAAAAAAAATTACAAAATGTGATTGCCATTGAATGAAATTTAAATATCCACACATTTTATGGTGATTTAAATTTGCTACTGAACGTTTTACAAGTAGTTACACTGTTTTTATAAAATAAATCGATGAGGTCTGTTTTCCCTTCTAGCTGAAATCAAATGTGTAGTTATTTGTTATTATGCATTACAATCACTATTTCTTTCGTGAACGCTCAAAAACAAGAAGGCTATAAACTCGATCCACTAACGTAAGTTATTTAATAGTTATTAATAATTATTAGATCGTACGTAATTCTTGCACCGAATCGCATCAGAGCGAATGAACTTGTACAAATCAGTGTATCCATATTTGAATTACTCTACGAACAGCTAACAATACGATTGGCCATTAAAGTTAATTCAACTGAAATTATATCTAGTCGAGAAGTATTTAAATCTCCTGGGACGAGAATTATGCAATTAAAAGTAAGCTCTTTTTCACATTTTTAAATATTTGCATTGTACTCAGATTATCCATGTCAACTCGAATCAATAGCCGGATGTGTTTTAAGAATATATCCTAATATCCTATTGCTACAAGATCGTATTTGTCCAAGAGGTGTGGTCAAACTTGGGTTTCAGGTATTATGACACAATGATGCTTCGGTATTTAACGTCAGTTATTTGAATTCACCTTATACGAAGTTATGATTCCCTACCATATATGCACATGTTTCTCGCGGTAAATATTAGAAATATACCTGGGTTTTACCAAGAATACCTTTAAAAATCTAGTTTTTAAAGTCAATATGTTTCCACAGGCACAATTAACTAAAATGTGAATTAATTCTACCTGAGATTTTATTATTTTGACTCTCAATAAGCATGGAATTAGTTGTATAATCGTTACCTTTACAAAATGAATTTTTCTTTTAACGTTTTTTTTCAGGTACCCAATTATGCTCGAACTGGGACGTACTGGTTACATGTTGAAGGTTCTATTGTATCCAATACTTCAATTTTATTTTCAAATCTCACAAAACTAACATTTTCTGAACAATCTGAATCAATCTTTATACATGTAGGTGATTATAAAATATTACGGAAATTTTTTCTCTGAGTTAAAGTATTCCAATAAATATTTACATAATTATTGTTTATAAGAACGAAATTCGGCCTTATTTCTACAGGAGGTCCGAAATTAGGTACTCTTTATTTTGTTGTTCTGTTTCCTCTGTCACTTCAAATATGTATTTTTAAAAACTTTGGTTAAACTTATAAGCAACTTACATCTCTGTAATTAGATATTTTACCAATGAACTTTCAACCTGGTCAACACGACAATCTAGACAGCATTACATTGAATACTGATCAATAACCAACTGGCCGAATCTTTGATACATTAGTATACGAACATCTCAATACTATAGAAGATCTCTCGTTGGTCAGATCAACTGTTAAATTATGTTTGGCTAAGGCATTGAGTAACATGGATTTGAATTCTTCTGAGAGCATACATTTTTCAACACACCTTGATGAATAGTTCCCTTGTTGTCAGTAAACTTTAATCCAGAACTTTCTGTCATTTAGATGGTAGATAATAAATAAAATCTTTTTAGGTGACTGGAGGTAGCCAACAGGAAACCATAGACCTCGGTTTCATGCTATTTGACATTCGTCAGGTAGGAGTAGCTATGATCTTGGGAGAACTAATAGTCGTCATAGAATTCTAACCCACCTCATGAAGCCTAAAATTTAATGTTACCACTGAACCATATGAGCCATGACTGGCCTATTGTACGTCTGAGATTTTCACAACTGGTTAATCACTACTCATTAAATAACCAATTATAACGTTAAATCCATTCACATGAAGGAATCTAATGATTAGTGACTTTGTTTGTACTCACAACAGAAAATTGTAAACGAATGAAAATGTAGATAAACTTTAGATTAAATTAAGAGCAAGAGTCACTGTATTATTGATTGCTTTGTTATTATATTGTTTCCTGAAGCATTTTCTTAAGAACGATCATTTTGTGCTTTCTAATACTGTGGATCAGTTATATTTGGTTTTATCTTCAATAAAATCCAGTATATAATTGATAATGACTTATTTGATAAAGAAGTTAATACATAAAGCCTATAATCAAGTTTTAAGAAAGAAGATCTTATTCAGAAATAGTATAATCGCTCAATTTTACTGGGATTTATCAGATGTTATAAGGAATCAATATTTATTGGTTCTTGATTGAGATCATGAACCTATTGATGTTAGACCACTATTGAAACCTGAAAGCACTAGACGGTCGTTTCGTCCCATTGTGTGACTCCTCAGGTAGAAACAGGTATTTAACTCAGTATAATGGAAGATGGTATACATGTAACAGTTAGAAATGAATGTTTGTTCATAAGATTAAGTACTAAACTTAAATGGTATTTCTTGGAGTTCTAGTGAGAAGCCGTGATCAGTGGAGTTCAACCGGGTGTGTTGTGAGATAGTAAGTCATTGAAGACAATGGTGGACAGTGGCTCAACTTTGTGGATTGGTTGAGGTTAGACACTAACACCGTTGGATGCGGACTGGGTGGTCCAGTGGTTAAGTGTTCGCGTGAGAGATTGAAGGCCCTGGGTTCAAATTCCGCGAGCGGGATCATGAATGCGCACTGCTGAGGAGTCTCACAATAGCACGAAACGGCCGTCCAGTGCTTCCAGGTTTTCAATGGTGGTCTAACATCAATCACTTCATGATCTCAATCAAATCAGAATAAAAGTTCAGGAATCAAGAAATAAATATAGTAATTAAATTACATATCTTTAAAATAATTATTATCTCATAATGTTCAATACATAAAACTATTCTACACTTTATACATATTCATTAAGGTTAGTAAACCAATATACCATCAAAGCCAAATAGTCAGATTTCGTGTTATTCCAATGCTTCCAGACTTAACTCCTGCCTATGGTTCTCTGGTTAGTATTGATGTACTTGATGCATCAGGGAATTTATTTAAACGATGGTTAAATCCAATGACAAATATTGGAGGTGAGTTAATGTTTAACAAATAACTGATAATATTTTATCTAACTATCAATAATTTTGTTAAGTCTTTTTAACTAACCATATACTTCCTTCTATACAATTTAAATAGACTTGATGATTCCGTACCATTATCCTAATTATTTAACAACTGAATAAATATCAGTAGTCACTTGAAATTCAAGGATAAGATATATGATCTTGCTGTAAATCATTCAGTAAGTCTCAATCAAAATCGTATTAATCTTCACAACCCTATACTGGTACCATGTGCTCACTAGTGACTAACTTCGTGAAGGAATTCTCGGAGTTCTAGTGAGAAGCCGTGACCATTGGGGTTAATCCGTATCGGGTAGAGACAGGTACAATGAAAGATGGTAGCGCAATTTCGTGGATTGGTTGAGGTTAGATATTAACACCATCAGATGCCGACTCAGTGGTCTAGAGGTCAGGCGTTCGCGTGCAGGACCAAAGATCCTGGGTTTGAATCCCGCGGGTGGGACTGTGGATGTACATTACTGAGGAATCCCACAATAACACGAAACGGCCGTCCAGTGCTCCCAGGTTTTCAATGGTGGTCTAACATCAATCAGTTCATGATCTCAATCAAAAGAGTAAATCTTTCATCTTGACATGAATGTCAGGAATGCAAATGCAAAGTGTAATAATACTGAAGAAAAACTTAATTTTCACAAATTTATACGGACTTTTATTGACATGAATTGTTTTCCAGTAATGATAATCACTATGAATTCTAAAAAGAATAAAAATGGATAGAAGACTATTAGATTTCCTGTAAAAAATATGCTATACTGACAAACTTGAGCATTTTTTCAGCTAATGAAGAGGGATTGTTTGATTATGAAATAGCCAACAGTAAAATGCTGTAAACTTACGGTAAATTAATAGTTTTGATATGAATAGTTAAACATTACTTGTTGAATTACTCTTTCCAATAAGGACAGAAGGTTAACTAATGTATTAGGAGTTGTGCTGTTGTTATGAGTTAGGATTATATCCCAGTAAGGTTTTTGTCATCAGTTCATATCAGCTACAATGCAATGATATTTCGTAACTGATATATTCCGACGAGAATAATGAATGGTAACTGTTGGGATCCATTTATGGAATAATACTATACATGTATTTTTATTGTGTAATTTTTAAGTAACGTAACTATGTGTATTCATATTCCTCTTATCATGAGTTTTATTTTGACTTGTAGACTATTATTATACGATCTATCATTTTTAAATTATGCCCACTCTATTAATTACAGTCTCCCACAATCACAGTCACCTTTGGCTAGACATTGTACATATGTTATTTTTTTATTTATGGTATGGTGTGGTCTGTTTGGTTTATATATAAACACAGTATGTTTGAAATACATGATTAATATCATGGAGGCTGAGATTGGTGTTCTGAACTCAGCGGAAAGGGCTAGGCAGGAAGAAAGACCGATAAGTACTATTGAATGTTCGTACGGGTTTATGTGTCATTGGTCCGGTCGATAATTCACTGTTCTCTAATTGGCGCTATCACTACGTTATATATTACCAGGGCAGAAGACCATAAGTTATAACAGTAACCCTTAAAAAAAAACTAGGGTTGATATTTAGAGTCAGGAGTCAAAGTGAGAGATTACTATCCAGCTACACAAACACACTTGACTACATGCTGGATCACAACATTTACTTAAACTTAATCTGGATCAAGAGTAAATATTTCTTGCAGTTTCGCTCAAACGTCATGTCATGTTTAATGTTTGATTGCACTGTCGATATTTCACATCCATTTCAAGTATTTTAAGCACCAGGAATTGCTAATTTTCACTCAGTTATTATTAACGCGCAAGCTACCGTACACTATGCTCTCAATTTCGCGCAAAAATCCACGGGCGCTGTCTTAATTTTGATTAGTTCGCTCAAGGTCGATAGTGTGACATGACTTTACTCTCTCTCTTCGTAGTTAAAAAAATTTTAATCTCATGAGATTAGTGACAAACATATACCAAGATATCTTACTATTTCATTGAAGAAAAATTGTTTAGTAATCGAACACTCAGGTGAGGACAACCAATTTACTATTCAATGAGAAATTACAAAGTTCTTTAGCAAAATATGAAAATCATACGTGAAATACTTCATTTTCAAATTTTCCATCAATTGTTTCTTACAAAACTCATCATCCGTTCCTGTTATTATTACAACTACTCTCTGTTTACATTCTCTTTCTCTTCAATTCGATCACCTCAACCTTCTACTTCTCCCAAGCATCGCACTTCTGATTGATATTTCATACCACTTATGTATGTCGACAAAGGTAGCATAAATCACACTCCCCCAGTTTAAGCGATCGCTCTTCCGACTGTTCTGCTCGTCGTGCCACTTCAATCTTTGCCGCAGTCTGAGCCACACTCACTATCAAAATTTCGAGTCCGTCAGCGCGCTGATCACCATAGTAATATCGACCCGCTGAGCCATTTACATCCTATGTCCGCCCAGAAGCCGCACATCCTACTTCTCCTCTCCTTAGATCAGCAGCAAAACGTTTGAAACCAATGGTTTCTTATGTTATTGTTTAAATACTCTGTTACTCTTACCTATTATACATCACTGGTACCAGTCAGTCAGTAACAACGTAGAACGTCGTACGTACGTACATCAGTTCGAGTTGCCACACCACCTTAGCACAGAGATGCAGTTGTCGATTCGAATCCCGTAGTGGTTGAGGTAGCAAGAGTATAAGCAGTAATCGGGAAGATTAGGGTTTGGAGATGTTACTTAAAGAGTATAATCCAGTGAAATAAATTTGGAAAGAGGAAAAAAGGGACATGGAGAATTCAGAAGATTAGAATATGGGAGGACACAAAGAGTGGATGCACCTGCGCCATTGCAAACGATTTTGAGCCATGTCATTCAGGGTCTCTAACCATTGGTTGCTATCATCTCGTGATCCCCAACCAGGTAGTCTACACCTACCAACATGACTCAGTCCACTTGTCAGTGACTTCATGGACTTGTGCCATGTTTTGGTTTGGCCGCCTCTAGCTTTCTTCCAACCTACTCCTATACCACTGAACATAGCACGTCGAGGTAGTCGGTCGTTGGGCATACGTAACACGTGTCCCAGCCATCTCAACTGGTACCAAGGTCTTAACTGTACTTGAGTCATGAAATGTAACTTAAAACACAAGTTCTAAACTTTGTAGGCCATTTATCTGTTAATGAATTAAAAATCTAATTATTAGATATTATTCTTACTCTCTGTATCAAGAAATTAAAAATGTCGCTATATCAGCAACAATTTATGACTACTTCAACATTGATGATTATAAGTGGTGAGATATGAATTGAAATAGATAGTAAAATATAACCAACAGCTTTTTATGTAATCACTCAACCGAAAACTAAAAATAATGTAAGTTTAATTTTCAAATGTAGTTCTTTTTTTCACTATATCATAAATTTGTATACGATACAGTTAAATTGTTTGCTACAATGTATGACGATAATTACACTTTCCCTGTGGTGTATGCTACTTATATCTGTCAACACAAGTAGTATTTAACACCAGTCAGAAGCGACATGTCTGACAGCGGAAGGTTGAGTAGATCGAATTGAAGAGAGAATAAATGCAAGCAAATGGTAATTGTAATGGCAATAGAAATGGAGGAACAGTGATCCTTGTAAGAGACACTTGATGGAAAATTTGCAAGTGATATATTTAATGCATAGTTTTCACATTTCACTAAGACTTTCTGTAATTTTGTGCTAGATAATAAATTGGTCTTCCTCACCTGAATGTTTGTTCACTTCATTTGGTGTCGCTGCTAAAAGAGAGGCTGAGAGAAGGTGAAGTTCTGCGGACACTATTACGGGGCCCGGAGGGGAGACACTAGTTGGAGCGGTCTGACATACGAAGGTGGTGCCGGGTGGAGTGCTCTGGTGGAGCGGCGTTGACTATAACAATCGACGGATAAAAGGGGTGGCACGTCCCGGGTGCTGGACGGATATCGGATTTAGATGACCCGGCAGGTCAGTATCGATTCGGAGGCTAGCTCGCTAGCAGACTCAACATTTTGGCGGGGAGCGTGGCACAGACTTCAGCAAAGAAGAAAGTGGTACAGCGAGCAGAACAACTGCAAGAGTGACCGCTTAAATAATTTGATCTTCCCCATCTGAGTGTTCGTTCACTACACCTAAAACTATAATTTATTGGGATTTGTTATTTTAAAAAAGAAAAAACTCAAAATAACAGTTTTTTCATTATATTTTCAGGTATAATTGAATTAGATTTTCCATTATCCGATCAAGTTCATGAAGGTGTTTGGTTAATACGTGCTAATCATGAAAGATTTTCAGCTGAAAAAACATTCCAAGTTAAAGAATATTGTAAGTTTTGCAAATTAGTTTACTAAAATTTTTATACATACCTTTGTTTATAATATAAACTTTGTTTAATGGATGATTTGATATGGATTATATTTACAATTTGATTATATTAGAGATAGTATATGCTTAAGAATGAAATTAAATGCGATTATTTCTTTTTATCAAGTAATTCTGTGGTGTGTGCTACTGATGTCAACAGATATAAGTAGTATGTATCATCAATCAAAAGTGAAATGCCTGGCGGCACAGCGTTAAGAAAATTAATGAAAAAAGTGATGAGAACAAAGAATGATTAGTATGGAAACGAGAAAAGCAATGAAGTCCGAGACGATTTATTTACATTTTGTAAATCAAGTATTTACTATTTGGTTCTCAGATTTTACTAAGATGTTCTGTAATTTTGTTTCAAATACATTCGATTGTCCTCACTTGTGTCCTCGTTCACTACAATTCTCTGCTAAAATTTACATTCATTTCTATGCTGATATTTGTATCAAAACTTGAATGAAACTACAGAAAACTATCAACTAAATAACATAACTGTAATATTTACTTACCTATTCATCAAATATTCTGTTTATGGTTAGTTGTAACATCTTATATTTTCTTTATATAGTTTTAACGACTGAATTTAACTAGCAGTGGAATCCAGGACACGTGTTTCGTCAGGTTTGGGACTCATCAGTTGGATTTGCCTGCATCTCAGAGTTGATGTTCACTCTGGGACTCGAATACCAGTACCGAGCGCTTCAAACGCCACTCCGTTATACACTTAGCTACTGAGTCCTGATATCAACTTACTTTTGCAATGGAGTGAAGTTTAAATTCACTTGGTATTGTTTACTTGAATCATCCTAAGTGCTTGTGAATTAAGTCAATATCGAGTCAATACGCACAGTATGCATATCTGCCGATAATAGACTGATCAATTTCAGTCCTAAACATTAATGAGAAGATTCAAGTATACAATACCAAGTGAATTTGAATTTAACTGTTCTGTATTGAACAAGTAGATGTTCCACTAAAAATTGATTTATTAAATATTTTATTAACTGAAATAGTTAATTACTTTACTGTTTTTCAATTATTTTTTTTAAAAAGGGCGACCTTTATGGGATGTAAATGTAACTCTTCCACTTAGAATAACTGATAATCAACTTGGCCTTTATGGTTTAATATCTGCGAATTATACTAGTGGAAAAGCTGTTAAAGGCAATGCTACCGTATTAATTCAACTAAGGAAATCGGGAGCTGATCGTTGGACTAACCCACCTCGAGCTGAATTCAGACGTTACTTATTAGCAGTAAGTGTATATCTAAGTTTATTTATTGTTTTCTTTACAGTCACATAAATTCATCTTCAATTAGTGGACATCCTTTTCTTAAGATATCAGATTGTTTACCGATAAAAATGAGCTGTCGTTTTCCTATTTCTATGTTCAATTAGGTATAGATTATTAAATATTCAGTCTACTAGTGTTTTGATTCAAACTATTTAATCTTTACTTTTTTTATGGCTTGGAGTGGAATGGAGTATGATACATTCACTTCCTATTGATTATGTGGGCCGGCCAAACCAAAACTTGGCACAAATCCATGAAGTCACTGACAAATGGACTGAGCCATGTTGTTAGATGTAGACTACCTGGTTGGGATCGCGAGACTATAGTGACCGATAGTAAGAGACCTTGAATGACATGACTCAGAATCATTTGCAATGGCGCAAGTGCATCTATTCTCTGTGTTATCCCGAATTCTAATCTTCTGGATTATTTATCTCCCTACTCTCTTTCCAAATTTATTTCACTGGATTATACTCCTTGAATAACATCATCAAACCCTAATCCTTCCGATTACTGCCTATACTTTTACTACCTCTACTACTGTGGGATTTGAATCGACAATTGTATCTGTGTGCTAATGTGGTATGGCAACTCGAACTGGTGTATGTACGTACGAAGTTCTATGTTGTTGCTGACTGATTATGTGTTTTCATTATTTATCAATTATAAAGATCTTTTGATATTTACAAATGCATTAATCGAAATTTCTAGTGATAATAACTTTGATAAGGTATACCACTTGAGATTTATGTAGATCATGCATGATGTTGCACAGTCAAATAAATGTTAATTTAACCTTATTAACAAGCGTAGATTTGTATGCTCAGAACTAAGTAACAATTTTTACGTATGACTTTCGATTATTTTTACCTGATAGCCCAGTATAAGTGGAGCAATTTGAGTTTAAAATTCAATAGTTGAAAGTCAAGAACTTTACCAACTAATGAATCACTCCAATATTCAAATCATATCAATACCGATAATAATTCTGCAGAATGTATTTTTAGATATTTGTTGATTAGAGACCAAAAGTGTAGCAAAATTATTTAAAGATTCTTATTATAGGATTCATCACACCATTCAGCCTGTTTCCATAACTCAAAAGATTTTTGTTTTATCGTCATATATCGCAGACAAACTTTAGTTAAACAGCTACTGAGGATCGAAACGCCCTGAGTAGATGTTTCGTCACTGTATGGGAGTTCTTAACACTATTTACGAGCTTACTTAAGATTAAAGCCAGGGCTAATAGACCATGCACTTCAGCTTTAAGCTACTAAGCTTCAAGCCAATATTGCTGATTGAATAAATCACTGGATTCCGAATTAATGTTCGGAATTCCGAGAACTTTCCGCAGAATTTGAAGGCTCCGGACTACAACCCTTGTGAGGTCATGAATATGCACTACTAAGGACTCTCGTACAAGAAATAAACCGATATTTTGTCCTTCTTGGTTTCCATTGGTTGTCTAGTTAAAGTCAGTTCTCATAGCAAAACTAAAAAATTCAGCCATCTCTACACTCTACTATCTTAAAAGAGTTCTCAGTATTTTATTTATTTTCATTTGATGAGTGATTGAAAAACAACTGTTTTTTCTTTTAAAAATGGATGATTATGGAGTTACTTTTTATCACGGACTAGAATCAGCTAAAAAAAATTATTGAAAAAATATGGTGTACTGTGCGTCCCTTACTAATAAATCTAAAACTGTTATGAAACAATTCTCTTTGATTTCTGATATACTTCCGGATGATAACTAACCTTTAATCCTTAGTAACTCTCAGTAATATCAATTAGGCTGTTGAGTAAGTTTCCTAAGTTTAGCATATAAGATTATCATGTTTCTTTCTCAGACCTATTACGAAGACTTTCCAGTTATGCTAAATATTTAAACTTTGACCTCATTAAAAAATTCTAGAAACAGAACTATTCGATAAGTAATTTAATATAACTCACTTATCAAGTAAATAATTCCATATTGAGCTTCAAGACTTGCTTTGTTTTTTGTGTAATGTTTAGTAATATTAATCATCTGTTCATACAGATGATTCAGTTCAATGACCATTTGCTGACAATCCAGCGTTATAACGGTCAGATCAGTGAATTACATTTATGTGGGATATGAAATCAACCTCTGTTTAAGTACTAATATGGTTTTATATTCTTGTGTATTGTATTCTTACATTACTGGAGTTCTAAGTTTCCTATGCTATGAAATGAAGATTAAGTATGGTAACACTGTTCAGAGATATTTTCATCAGATATATGCTTCAATAAGCTCTAGATATTCCGTTCTAATTGATTTGGTGACCTGCTTGAATATCTGGGCTACCTGTTCCTGTCATCAAAATATTTGAACAAGTTATCTGTTTTTTCTTTATTTTAACACATAATTATGTCTATTAATCGCATAACCTACTTAGGCGCGTTCATGAAAAGTTTACGACTTTTCACTGTACAATCAGGGACGTTGTGGTTGCTGACAATATGCATCATGAAGATGTCGATTCATGAACTCTAACATCTAACTGGGGATCACCAAACGTTTAACGTCAGGATGGATCAAGAAATAAGAAGAAACTTATCGAAATACTGAACAATAATAATAATGTAACAAAACAATCATACATTAATTTTATTGATAAGTCTTTTTCTTAATAGTTTTGATTAGTTACTTCAATAAATCAATGCTAAATCTATTCTCAACGTGTTTCAAACAAAATGATTCGTGAAACCTGTAAGAAATCTGAGTTAATCTTTGATTGTAATCATTTATATACTTACTTTTTTTTCTCGAATTCAATGAGCATATTTATTTGCAAAAAGTATACCTCAGTTAAGATTGAAAGAATGATTTTAACACCATGTATGTTTATAATTGATTATTAAATAAATTGTTTTTGATTGAGATCATTAACTGATTGATGTTAGACCACCATTGAAGACCTGGAAGCACTGGACGGCCGTTTCGTGCTATTGTGAGACTCCTCAGCAGTGCGCACCCACGATCCCGCTCGCGGAATTCGAACCCAGGGACTTCAGACTCGCGCGCGAATGCTAGACCTCTAGACCACTGAGTCGGCATCGAACGGTGTTAATGTCTAACATCAACCAATCCGCGAAATTTCACGAACATCTTCCATTGTACTGAGTTAGATACCTGTCTCTACCCGACAAGGATTAGCTAACATCAATCACTTTATGATCTCAATCAAAAATTTAGTAATCTCCACAACCCTATATTGATAATAAATTGTTTATTTATAATTTTGTTTAAATGTTAGTTATGTATAAATTTTGCATTAGTTTTATATTCATATTTCAGTTAGATGGTATTGGAGATTTTCTACTACCTATGTCTGAAATACGTCAAGCTATAAGTAGTTCTACAACAGATTCTTCTTTAGCTAATACAGAAATTTGGGTAAATGTAACCTATTTTAATTGGTGGGAAAAAACTCATCGAACTGGTTGGGCATTTACAAAAGTATATTCTTCTAATCCATTGATTAAATTTCTTGGCGGTATGGTTCGACCTTTTAAACCTAATATGTATTTCACTGTTTACGTAAGTTAGTCTTTATCATACATATTTATATGTATTTACTTACTTTAGATTCTTTACATTTTATATTATGATAAGTCATCTAATTGGACGCTACATTCGGTTCCTAAACCATTCTAGTAGCCCCCCAGGCTAAATCTACACATCGACTTGAACATGAAAGAGAACGCTTTACTCCAAAAGTTCGTTTATGTACAGAAAATCTAGGGTTTTTATATTATTTCAGATGTCCATTAGTTTCCGGAATGCCACGAAACATAGTTGCAGTATAATTAGTCATCCAATCAGAAACTCGACATGTGACTTTTCACTTTTGTAAATGTTTCTGGCAAAGCTTCTACTGAACGCTGACTGGATAAGATGCTTCTCAGTGTTTTCAGAGCCTTTTTTGGCTTTTTCTTTCGAGGAGTTTTATAGATCTCCTCAACATATTATACCTTGCTCACAGTTCTCAACACCTAGGTCAAAGTATTAAACGTTATCTCATTGTTCTCATCAATTCTCACCGTGTTATTAATCTTCAAATAATTAGCAGAGAGACTATAGTGGAGTTTACAAAACTCTACTTTCATATCATTTTTCGAGTAGATAGATAATCAGATCGTAGAAAAACCTTTTTGGTATATTCATCTTAATCAAATCCATCAATCGTTATGTAATTCAATGTAATGTTAACCATCGAACCATTTAGCATACAGTCAGTTAAACTACATTGTTCAACCGATCATTAAGTGTTTATTTCATTGTTATCATATTTTGTATAATTTTCTCTTAAAAAAGAACATATTGATATTTGATTAATATCAGATGGGTTTTGTGGATATTAAAGTAATTTCAATGGCTAAGATCATGAGTCAGTGGAAGCTAAACCACCATGGAAAATGGCCGTCCAGTGCTTCCAGGTTTTCCATGGTGGTCTAGCTTCAACTGACTCATGATATTGATATTTATTTTATTACATTAAAATTTCTTTCCAATTTTTTGCTCAGTTGGTTGTTTATATGGCAGATGGTAGTATGGTAAAATATAGTGGAAATCGTAAAGTTACACTCTCATTCTATTGTCTTGATAATACTTTTGAAAAACAAATCACTCTACCTATATCAGATGATGGTGTAATACGTTATACTTATAGACCAACTGGAGATGGTTGTATCACTTATAGATTAGAAGTAAGTTTAAATAATTACTTTCTATTTCTATTTCAATTACACTAATTTGGTAATATTAGTTGATGGTCATTTCTTGTATATTTTAATGATAGTACTAATCAAATGTTTTTATTATGGATCACTATTTCGTAGACTGATACTGATACATAAACTCCTTATAAGCTACTCGATGACCGACTAGTGTGTGAGAAGGCTAACAGTCAAAAATGAAGTTTGTTGTGCTAATCTGGTTCACATGCGTAAGCATATACATATACATATACCTTAGAGAATATCAGCATCTATTAACCAATCACGTTCATTTGTTAGATTTTTGATTGGAAAAGGATGGCCTTTTCATTTGGAGACTTTTGATCGGCTTACTGTAACAGTTTTTAAGACAAAAGCCTTTTCTTCCACTTTTGATCTATAGTAAATTATATAAAACCACTTTGATTTACATATATATGTCTTTTGATAAAAATAGCCAGATGCACCGCTAAAATGCCCAGCCGTGTCCAGTAATTAGATCACATTATCTTATCTGTATAGATACCTTTTGATAGGTAACACCCAACTACGTGTGCCATACGTGCAGATGTAACACTATTGTGTTATTGTATCAATAATTACTATCGACTAAACACCATTTGTATGTTATACAACTCATGAGTGTTTATATTTCACCAAGAGTTCGTATAGAAAATATGAAATGTAAATACTTTCCATAGACAAATTCCGTATCACTACATTTATTAATGTTGTTTTTAATAAAGTGGATGATATGATCATACAAGCATTTTACAGTACAGAAATAGTCTGACTGATGTTGACGGTCTGCTGGAATATCTAGGCTACTGTAGTGAACAAGAATATGAATGGGGACAACCGAATGCATTTGAGCACAAAACTACAGAACATCTCACTAAAATTTGAGAACCATACAGTAAATAGTTTATTTGCAAAATATCAATCATTTGTCTCAAACTTGACTGTTACTTTTGCAAATATCAGTCTATCATCTCGGATTTCATTGTTCATACATTTTCATACGAATTGCTTTTCGTTCCCATTCTTTCCCTCTCGATCTTCCGCTGAAATATATTCTATGTCTGACCATCGTCAAATACTACTTATGTGGATATAAGTAGCTCACACCACATTAATTGTTCCTGTCACCTAGATATTCCAACAAGTTATCTGCTTTTTGTTTGTTTTAACATATCATTTTGTCTATTATTTACATAACTTATTCAAGTACGTTTATGAAAATTTTACAACCTTTCGCTGAATAAGCTACAAAACTATACAGTCGGTGACATTGTGGTGGCTGGAAATATTCATCAAAAAGGATGTACATTAGTCAGATGTCAATTCTTAAATTGCAAACATTTAACTGATGATCACTCAATATTTATCTTCACGATTGATCAAGAAATAAGAAGAGGGAACTTATTGAACTATTCTATACCGAGAATTTTATAGTGTAACAAAGATCTAATATTGAATGAAGCCATTAATAATAATAATAATAATAATAATAATAATAATCTAAGTAAAGGAATCTTATTACTGTAGCATTTTTCTCTCCATTTGTGTTCAGTAACTATTTGATAGCATACATTAACTAACGTAGCATCAATATTTATTTTTTTCTTACTTTTCATCTGGGGGGAGGGGTGTCCAAACTTTGATATTTAACACTTTCTAACATCCAGATTAGCTGTGGGTTATTTTTACAAATCTCGTTACTACACTCATTATGTGAATTGGTTGGTGATAATTGAATTTTTTCTTAGTTCTAATAGAAAACTCTATCAGATGACAGAGAGGTGAATAAGGTTAATTAGTGAATGTACTTACATATTAATAACACAGAAGAATTGTCATACTAACATGCATTGGGTTAACATGAAAAAATCAACGATTGAACTTAAAATTCACGAAACGTCTACTATCTTGGAGTAAAATGACTGAAGGAAATGTAAATTGTTATGATATACATATGTGTGTTATGTTCTTAATAAATATTTGTTTACATAATTAAACATGATTATTGTTGACTTTCAGGCTAGGTACATTGACGAAACAGATCGAATTTTATCAAATGATCAACAACGTTTATTTGCTGTGAACTCTTATTCCGGTGCATATTTACAGTTATCAACATCAACTTTTTCACCTAAAGTAAAACTGAATATGAATAATATATGCCTAAATAATTCTATGATGGTTGCCTTTTTTTTCTCTAAATTATGTATTTATTCAGTTAATCCTACCTTGACATGATAAACTGATCTACTAATGAGTTCCGCTTTTGATAAATATCGAATACTGATAGTTAAATTCGTTAGCTGGTCTAAACTAGAGCACCAATGAAAACATGGAGTCACTAGACGGCCGTTTTGTCCTAGCATGGGACTCCTCTTCAGTGCGCGAGACCGAAGGTCCTAGGCTCGAGACCCACGTACGAGATCGTGGATGCGCACTGTTGAGGAGTCCCATGCTGGGACGAAATGGCCGTCCAGTGCTTCCAGGTTTTTAATGACGGTCCAGCCTAGATTGACTCGTGAACTCAACTATTAGAATTAATAAAATCTCCATTCTGATAATTATGGAGTGAAACATTGGGAATACAATCTTTCTACTAATCAGGACATAACAAAAAATATATTTATTATTAGCTTTTTACTCAACCCTCAATTTTTTTGAAACTATCAAGCCCAACCTAAGCATTGATACCTACAGAGAAAGAATGATTTTTATTATAAGTTGTCAATCTTAGTTTTAAAAAACAACCTCTAATTATTTATTCCCTAAACAAACTTGTCCACAACTAATTGAAGATCATTTGATCATATAGATTTGTAAGGTTTGTGTAAACGTGACGTTTATTTTCAATAATCATTACTATGAAGTACTTCGTTTCCGTAAAAATTTGTGTAAAATTTTCTTTTCACAGTTGAAATCCCGGACTAATCTTAGCTGTTTCACTATTCTAAACCTGGGGGCACTAAATACCCGTTTCGTCGTAATATGAGGCTCCTCAGTAGTTCGCATCCACGAACCAGCACGCGAAGATTTGATCCAGGACCTCCGATGTTGCGCGGAAACACCTGACTTTCGGACCACTAAGCCGGGATCTAACAGTGTCAGTGTTTAGCTTCAATCAATCCATAGTCATGCACAACCCTTTCATCGATTACCTTCAGTCGATAAGTGTTTCACAACTGATACAGATTAAACTGCACTGAAGAAATTATTGGCAAATTGTCGTATGATCTACACCTTCTGAAGTTCAAGATAAAGATGTATAAGTACATAAAAATTTGTTTAATTTGAGATTTTCACCAACTTATGGTCACAAAATAGCAATTTTTGAATGAGCTACACAAACTTTATCTCAATTTGCACGAAAGTATTTGAGGGGAACAATAAAATGAATACAATACACTACTGAATAATATTAGTTAGTAATATAACATTTTTCAAAAAAATACTAAAGTAAATAGTGCTTTAGTCAAAACGTTTCTGGATTTGATTCCTAATATTTATTACCATGAATCGTTGTTTAGACTCTTTATCTGTGATCCCATCAATGTCACACAATAAAAACAAGAGAATTTAAGTATCATAATTCAAAATCTATGACCGTTTTCGAAGGATACATTCATTAATCCTTATAACTTTATACTTCTGTCAATTTCATCCTTGCTCATTTCACCCAAGAATTTTCCCATTTCACCTGATGTCTATTTTCATATTGTTGAGTTAATAGTAGAATATGATCCGTTGTATGTAAATGTTTAAGACACACTAGATATGGTTATTTAATTAGGTCTACGCTATTTTGATGTAGTTCTACTGATGCACTTCTGTGTTGAACACAGTTTTTTTAACATCTTAGCTGTTTCGATTACTAAGATCTTGTCTCATTACTTTAGTTTCATAGCAACAAACAGAAAGTTATTTGAACATATCGAGTTTCAGTAAACATACAAGATAGTATATGAAAATAAAAAGTCCCCGCTTGTCGAATCGTATCATTCTGACAGTTTTCTTTAAATCACTAAGTAATAACGGTTATCAATACGTTTGCTGTAGATCTTAATTGTTCTAGATTTAACAATTAGGTTTATTGAATTCGGTCATTGTTAAAAATATTACGGAATAAGTTAGATTGATACTTCTCAATATGCTTATAAGCATAGACCGAAAATTTTTCTAAAACTCCATTTATAAAGCCTTCCTCTTCTTACGTAATATTATGAAGTTACTATTGTTTTTTTTTCACTGGATTTTACAAGGTAAATGAATATATGGTTATACATGTACAAACTAATTATCCTACTGATAAAATACATTATGTGGTAAGCTATTTGGTTGAATTATTTCAATAGTATTCTTATTAAAATAACCCATAGTGTCATTGAATGATGCTTTAAACAAGTCACCCATCTTTTATCGGTTAGACAACCGTTGGAAATCAGGAAGCATTGTGTTATGCTCTTAGCTTATTCGATTATTGCGAAATACGGTTGTCAATTTAGATACACTGACTTATAAGACAAAACTAAAAACGCATACACTAGTACGAACGGCCTAAAGTTCCGATTGACCCTTTATTCTTCTAGCCCTACCTGTTAAGTTCAGAACGCTAAATTCATCCCCCGCGATACGAACCACATATTTCAAACATACTAGGTTTATATAAAAGCAGAATCCGACCATGTCGCATTATAAAATAGAAAATAACAGGATCTAGGCAAAAGTGGCTGTTATTGTGGGAGACTGTAGTTGATAGAGTGAGCATAACTTGAGAATAGTAAATCATGTAATAATAACCAATAGGTCAATTACAAGCTTGCAATAAAAGGAATATAAGTATATGTAGTTTAGGTAACAATTATACAATGAGAATATATGTATATTATCAGTCTATAAATAGATCCCAACAATACCATTCATTATTCTCGTCAACATATAACACACTGGACAGTTGCTTCTTTTCAGTTCGAGACTCCTTAACAAGGTCAATCCATTTTATGAAATTTCAGGTTAAGCAATCTCTACAACACTCTATAATAATTTTCCTTCTGTACTTTGATCAGCTTAAATTGAAAATAGACAATAATCTATTTCATTGCATAGTTTTTTGTCCATTCTTATTTCTCATTAGTCCAAATACTACCAGACGCCAAACGTTCTCGTCAGAAATAGATAATTTCCATTGTACACTATGTAACTATTCCACATGGAGTGTTGAGAACACTAACCAATTGTGAAAGATGTTCAGGCGGACTGTATAATTCGTGACAAACTTCTAAATTTTCCATCTAGTATGAAAACAAGTAATTAGCTATACTGTTCTAGTATAAGACCATTTAGTAACTCATGAATTGTAAAAACGTCAGTTTCAAACCTGTGATTGCCGCGTCACCATTTATTCTAATGAACTGAAATACGTTTAAACTTCGCTTGAAGTGGAAATTTGTTTCTAAATCAAGCACTGGTATCCTGGCTTTTCCAGCTAACGAGCTCTAAATGGAGCAAAACAGTTCTATATACGAATCCAGCTATATCTTTAATGCAGATTACCCACGCATAACAAATCATTATAATAAATTATTGTATAATTTAGCACAGGCATATCTGCTTTCTTTTAGTATTAACTTACTATCTATCGTTTATTGTCATCAACTTCCTCATCAATTGAATTAATCTTTTTTAGGTTGTTTCTAACGGAAATATTTTAGCAACTGATCAATTACGTATGCCAAATGCAGTTACATCACGTACATTTTCAATTGCTGTATCACGTTACATGTTTCCAATATCACATATTGTGGCATATTTTATTAAAGACAATAGTGAAATTGTATCAGATTCATTGACATTTTATGCGAATTATACACATTTGAATAATGTACAAATGCAAGTTAATCGTGGAAAAGATTTAAATCAAGATACATTAGAAATCAGAGGTTATGCTAAACCTGGATCTTATATAGCATTCAGCGTAATGCATGCTGATTTGTACGCTATTGGCGGTGCTTCATTTCTACGAGAATATGATGTGAGTTCAAATTCAACAATTATAAAATAGTACTCTGTTTTCAATACTTTATCTAATTTCATTGGGTATATTATTTCAATTTTATTAGTCGTGATTCCTGACATGGAGCTCTTTCATGCATAAGGCTATTTGCGTTGACTATTCACTGCTCCGGAATCCAGTATAAGATTTTCTGTTGAATATGCTATCATAGTGTTAGAACTACATATTGACTGATTAACTATGAACTAAAAACCTCATTTTTAAATATTCATGTATTGATCACAAGATTTATGGGTAACAATGTAAATAAATAGTATTCCAACAAATCTCGCAATTTTGCTCCAGGAGGTCCACTCATCGACTTAGAATACGCAGATGATATAGTCTTGTTTGGTGAAGACGCTGATAAAATGCAGTCTTTTGACAGCACTGAGCAACAATGCCAAGACGTTTGGGATGCACTTCTCCACCTCTAAATGCATGCTTTAGGACTCATCTGCATCAACACCTGAACTAAGGATAGGGAGTAAATTAGTCAAACGCGTTGACAACGTCACTTGTCTTGGAAGTCTGATCAGCGCTAATAGATTGGTGTCTGACGATTCGTAAAGCTCGTTTGGCTTTTGCAAACCTACGTAACTGTTATGGATGCTGAGGAATAATGTGCCAATCATTATCATGTTAAGTCTAATGATGTCCTTGGACTCTAAATGGGCATTCCCTATTGGCCATTATTTATTTCACTCGTTAGATATTGTGTAAATGTTGTTTTCTATTTTTATGGTACGACGTGGTCTGTTTGGTTAGTATATAAATAGAGTATGTCTGAAATATAATGATTCATATCTCAGAGGCTGTGACTTGTGTTTTGGACTCAACTGGCTGGGCTAAACAGGGAAGCGGGAACAATCGGGACTCTAGGTCGTCCTTACGTGTTTTACGTGTCACTGCAACCGATCGATATAAACGCTGCTTATCAAAACCTGCAGTCCACACGTTACAACAGTAACCAGTGGCGAAGGCGAGATATCCGTCTATTAATTAAGCGATGAGTATACTGCGTAGCAGTTTGTTCTGTTCTACTTTACGGCTGCGAAACGTGGCGACTAAGAGTAGGAAATACTCGTAAGTTACTAGTATTTGACCACAGATGCCTTAGAAATATTGCTCGCATCTGCTGGGATCGCCGGGTAAGTAATAGTGAGGTTAAACGCAGGGTATTAGGGAATGATGGTAAATTAGTTGATGAGGTTGTAAATCTTCGTCGACTAAGATGATGGGGCCACGTGTTGCGTATGCCTGAACACCGATTACCACGATGAGCAATGCTGACATTAGTGTTGGGGATGGTTGGAAGAAAGTTAGGGGCGGTCAAACCAAAACATGGCATCAGTGCTTGGAGTCACTAACTTCTAGTTTGAGCCATGTTGGTAGATGAGGACTATTTAGTTGGGGTCCACGCGACTATCGTAACCAATGGTTGGGGACTGTGGCTGATGTGGCTCAGAATCGATCACAATGGCGTAGGTGCATACACTGTATGTCTTTCTTTAAACTATGAGACTAAAATTGCTTTATACCTTTCTTTCTACGAACTAATTCTTTCTTTCTGTACTATATCCTTACGTAAAATATTTTCTTTATATATTACACTATTGAGTTATCTGCTTCTATGAATCTGGTGTTCGGCTTGCTGTGCTAATGGGGTGTGGCAACTTGGACCGATGCGTGTATGTGCCTGGTCCTACGTTGTAACTGACTGAATGACTTGTAAACAGTAATGAACACTTCTATTTAGCTGGTCTATTCTATTGTATTTCGTTTAATACTTAGAGAAATTTGTGAACCTTTAATTATTTATAAGAATTGTACGTAATAAATACGATTCCTTTGTTAAAATTCATGAAATGATCGACTTTCTAGTGTTAGAGACGAGTGATTCGAAATTTTATTTCGAATTATTGTTAAACAATATCATTTAGGAAATAATTTTATCAAAAATATATTGAACATCATGAATATAAATGAATTATACCGAGATGGATGGTGTGAAGTTTAATTGGTTATCCGAACTCAGTAATTAAGTGGATGACGTAATGGTGTTTGAGGAGAACACAAGTTGGTTTCAGCACTTGAGTGAACATCAACTGTGGGATGCAGATACATCCAGCTGACACGTGCCAAATAGGATGAAACACGTGTCCTGTATTCCACTGCTAGCCAATATCCATCTTTGCTTATAATGTTTGGGACTTAAAGCAATATTGAGGCAATCCGTACAGGATGCATATATGTCAATCAGAGACTGATTTATCAATTACATTCGTAAACATCAATGAGACGATTCAAACAACCAGTACAAAAATTAACTAAATGGATCAAATTACATTTTTACTAGAACCATTTGTTCATTATTAAATATCAGATTATATTAGTTATTTATATGTTTTTAATTATCAGATTGTCGATGAATTAATGACATATGAACAACATAGTCAAGCACCATTGGTTCATACATGGTATGAAGATTTTAAAGATATTAAACGTATCTATTTACCGACATCCAGTAATGGAGCAGATACCAATAGTACAATGAATTCATCCGGTTTAATTATATTCACTGATGCTAATTTCACTAAAGCGAATTTTTATCGTAAGTTCTCAAAAATGTTATTAAATGGTTTAAAGCTAATTAACTTTATGCATAATACATGATCTTGGATAATAAGATGTAAAAAGGATACTGATGAAAGGAGATGTGTGTTTTTCTTTCCTGTATTTTCCAAAATTCCTATTTCGTCCAAATCATTTTCAGTGTTTTACAACTCGATAAAATTTATTTGATCCAAAAATGTAATAACTTTTATGATAGGCACTAGGAAATAATATTTAAATAATACTATTTCATACAGTTAAATGCTAGCCACCATACATTTTTGCATGTAATGCCTGTGACTTAGAGCAATCCATACAGGATGTACGTAAGAGACTGATAAATTTCAGTCCTAAACATCAATCAAAAGATTCAAACAAACAATAGAAAATGGATTCATGACAAAGGAATAGCTTAAAATCAGTTAACTGAGATCAGGAAAAGGATTATTGAAAAAAATGGTTACTTCGTTTACATTTTGAACACAATTCAGTAGTGTACTTGATATATCACATATTACACTGGATTTTCGATGTGCATATTTTTCTCTCTCCGTCTCTGAAATACCGACTTTTAATCCAGTTGTTCACATAATTTTCAGAAATAGAGAGAAATAACTTATAACCATTTTTCATTTTCTTTTTTTAATTAATCATTCGTGTTACCGTAAAATAAATATTGTAGTGAACGAGAACACAATTGGGGACAATCGAATGTATTTTAATTAAAGCAAGAACAAATATTGATGCAGAATAGTATGAATTCATATTATTTCGAGGTTTCTCGTCAGCTGCTTACAAACCAAAAAATGTGATAGAATTTTTACATTGAGATAGAGTGAAAACAAATGACATAGATGAGTGTAAATAACTGGGTTACAATAATAACTATATATATATATATATGCTAGAACAGGTCAGAGGTCAAAAGGAATTACACCACCCAACCCGAGTTAATTCCTTTTGACCTCTGACCTGTTCTAGCATATATATATATATATATATATATAGTTATTATTGTAACCCAGTTATTTACACTCATCTATGTCATTTGTTTTCACTCTATCTCAATGTAAAAATTCTATCACATTTTTAGGTTTGTAAGCAGCTGACGAGAAACCTCGAAATAATATGAATTCATACTATTCTGCATCAATATTTGTTCTTGCTTTATTTAAATTCATAAAGGGAACCAATTGCACGAATGTATTTTAATATAAAATTACAGAACATCTTAGTAAAAGCCGAGAACCATACAGTAAGCAATTCATTTGCAAAATGTCCTCAAATCGTCTCAGACTCCATTGTTCCTTCGTTTCCACACAAATCGTTCTATTGTCTTCGGTCTTCTTAACCCTCTGCCGCCAGGCATTTCTACACACACCACAGTATGATTGGATTAACTCTTTTGAAAGAAACACTAAATTGTCTACAAGGATTTTTCATCGAAATCTGCTTTGGTCAATCATTTCCAGTTGCTTTCAAGCACTATTCATTCTTTTGATGTCTACCTCCAATTCCTGATGCAATGTGTTCTTAAGTCTTCCTCTTTTGTTTATGCCTTTAGGATTCCACTTTAAGGCTTGTCTCGTGACGCAGTTTGATGATTTCCGCAATGTATGTCCTATCCATCTCCATCGTCTTTTCCTAATTTTCTCTTTAGGTGGACGTCAGTTTGTTTTCTAACACAGTAGTCTGTTGTTGATGATATCCGGTCAACAGACATTGAGTATCTTGTGTAGACAGTTGTTTATAAATATTTGTACATTTTTGATGATGATTATAGTAGTTCTCCAAGTTTCACCTCAATACAGTAGAACTGTTTTGACGTTCGTATTGAAAATCCTGACTTTGATATTTGGTTGACAGTTGTTTTGAGTTTCCTATTTTCTTCAAGTATTTCATTGTAAGTAAGAAAAGATAAATGGAAACAACCATTTTTAAGTTACTTTTATGAAGATTTTATTGTCTTTTAACCAATTTGGAAGTGTAACACATGTACCTCAACACTCTCGTTTTGTAGTATTGATTGTAAACATATTAATTGATCATTTAACTTGATAGTGGCTGTCGAGAAGAGTAGATCGTCGATAGCTGCAATCGGTATATTAGCACAAGCGTAACAGGTTGAAGAGCCTTCTAACGAAAGAGCATAGAAATCAAATAAATCTAACATTTCTCCCAAAAAAACAATTAATTTTGTGAATACTTCTAACTATTATTTAATCAATAGATACATGTAATGAAACTGAGAACCCTGCACGTGCCTTACCATGCTACTCTCTTACTGGTCGAGATTGTTATTCAAGAAGTGAACGATGTGATGGGATCAATCAATGTGCTACTTGGATTGATGAAATGGACTGTCCAGAAAATGAAACTAAAAATCCTCAACCATTACGTTTAATAAATACATTTGATATATTAAATCGTCAATGGAATGATGGTGCTTGGTTATGGCATAGTACATTTGTCAAGTAAGTATTATCTGTTTATGATGTTTAAAATAAATAAAACAACCACAGTAAATATCGTGTGGCTGTAAAAGTACTGATCACAATTGCGTACATGATGGAAAATACAGATGCATTTTTGCTTTATTTATCTCTCGAAGTATCTAATTTGACTTGAGAAGAAAACTGAGTAATTCGTTAATCACAGATGACTCCGATTACGTTGATGATGATGTGATAAATTGAAAAGTCAGTGGCTAGATAAAGGCAGAACAATAGCTTTCATCAACTAAATCATGGTCCAGCAATTTACGAAAACAACAATTATGAACATCAAATTAGTTAAGTTGCAAAGATTGAAAGTTGAGCGTCCAAAATAGGAAAATAAGTCCAAGTGAGATCGTCTTTTGCCCTTAATATCACTCTTTTAGTCACTTAAATGAGTATAATTTAGGCATTGAAAGTGAAAAATAATAAGTAAGTATAGTTTTGTGCTCCGAAATACTGCTTTTGTGTGATTAGAGACAATTATTTGAAAGCTCTGAACGTGAATGTTGTGCTAGTTGGTACTCGTCAGGAAGGTTTATTTGCAAACAGAAGCGAACTGATGATCGTTGTAGAGTCCATACCCAAGTCATCCAATATCATATTCAGAGTCATTATGATTGAGTTATTCGGGTCAGAATTGATCTCATCTAGGACTTTGCTTCATGCTCCCTAATTGATCACCAAGTATTATTCCTTGTTATGTTTTCCAATTATTAAGACAGATCGGATTGGATTATGACAACTAATCTACCTGACATGAATACACAGTAAACTGTATTTAATGATGAAATACAGTATTATACTTCCAAGCTGGATAGTTGGATATAAACAAATGATAGTTATGTATGTACGTGCAATAGTGAAGTAACCATCGATTTCGTCGATAATTTCTATGCTTCAATATGTAAGTTCGTTAGCAAAAGTTCTTCGTTCATTTCAGAGTTTTTATCTATTCCCTCCAAGATAAGAAACAATGACATAAAGTTCGCCTCTTTGAGAGAGTCATTCAATACTCCTTACTCATCGCGTGATATAATCAACGAACTGCAATTGTTGCTGAAATCCAAGAATCATAATAATCCATGTGTATATATCAGACTTGAAAATGTGAAAGCTAATTTCTTTCTGAAACAGTGAATGAAAGAAATTCAAGTTTTAAAATGAAATACCTACTTGTAATTTGCTAATTAAATGCACGTTTTTGGACTACATAGATTAACGACTATAAATACGCTTACTTATTTGGATGTAGACAGTCAAATTGTACCCCTGAACTTATTTTGAGTGCTAGTTATTTATAATCATCAGGGGACTGATGTTATTTGTGGTTTTAGAACGCACATATTTGTAAGAGGTCGAAATTAAAATACTTACATATAAAAACAAAATGGATTATCACAAACATGATTTATTATAAATCTTATATGAAATAATATTTTTTCAGTATAAAGTTGTGGAGATTGTTAAATTTCATTGAAATTACAAACCGAAGTTAGACAATCACTGAGATCATGTAAGCATCGGACACCCGTTTTGCTCTAGTATGGGACTCGTCAGTATTTCGGGTCCAGGACCCTCACGCGGGGATCTAACCGAAGATTTCCGGGCTCTCATGCGAACTGAACTTGATCTAATGGTGCATTAGTCTAATTTTACTCAGTTCATGATACTCCGCGACCATTTTATATTGTCTCTGGTGGGTACCTCTCTCTCATCGGACACTTCTTAGCCGAACTGGTCACAGCTTTTCCCTAGAACTACAGGAATTCCATCTCAAAGCTAGTCACTGCTGAGCACATGATGATTGCCGGTGTGGGATTGCGAAGATTGTTGAATTTAATTGAAATCCATAAGCGATCAAAGTTTAAGCCAGACTTGTACACCAGTTGATCATGTATCAGTGGTCTATAGATCAAGGGTTCGCGCACGAGACTCAAGGTTTACGGTTCAATTCCTGTGTTCGGGATTTTGAATATGCACTTCTAAGCACTCTCATACTGAGACGAAGCAGGTGTCCATTGCTTCCAGGTTTCAAATGGTTCTCTGAACGTGATCGATTAATCATTTCAACAATAGCTTTTCTTGTCTGAAATTCTAGATTTTACTTTCATTCAATCATTCCATTACTTTAGAGCTGATGGACAAATTCAATTTCGGGTTGATCTACCAAAAATGAATGCTGACTGGGTAGCTGGTGCATTTTCAGTTGACAGTGAATTAGGTTTAGCTTTAATGCAACAACCTTACTTATTTTCTGGTACAAGACGATTTTATATGACAGTTGAACTACCTGAAGAAGCTGTCTGGGGTGAACAAATCGGTGTTCGTGCTTGTCTTTTTAATAATTGGAACTATTGGATTGAGGTAATTAAAAGTTTATGGATCGATTTGGCTGAAGCGTTTGTGCGAAGAAATTGAGTACGCGGACAAAATGTTTCATAAGGAACAGGACAAAATACTACTAAAAACTAGGATTCTTTCTATCCTCCCTAGCATAAGTAGTCACATCTATTATTTGTAAAGCGTTCAGTGAGGATGTTAGATTTTTTGTGCTCGTTGTTTCCTCCACTATGGCTGAACGACGATGCTAGTGAAATACAGAAAGCGTATTTAACTTCGTATATTTTCCATCGATTAATTACTGCAATAAAACATAAAAATAAAAATTCGAATACGAATTCCATTTTGAATATGTAAATTTGAGATACTCATGTGAGCAGGTAAACTGAACGACAGAACATGTACATTGAATACACGCTGACAGAAGCATCTATAAAAGTTTTCTCAGTTAATAGTGGACAACTTACAGATGACCAATTAAAGATGTTCGACACACATAAGTTGAGCACAATTAAACTGTTATTAGTTGAAAGGATTTGTGACGATTGTAGAAGTTTAAAAATTTAAATTGCGAACTGATCTTAGTTAGTCCACCATTGAAAACCTGGAAGCACTGAGCGGCCGTTTCGTCCTCATATGGGACTTCTTATCAGTGCACATTCCAAAACCTGCAAGGAGTAGTCGAACGCAGAATCTTTGGTTTCGGGCTCAAACGTTTATCCTCTAGATCACTGAACCGATATCCAACGGTGTTAATACCTAGTCTTACCCAATTTACTCTATCTCTCAACCCCCATCAATTGCCTGCAGTGGATAACTGTCTCACACGACATGGATTGGACTCCACTAGTCACGGCTTTTCACTGCAACTTCGTGAGTAACATCTTCGAAACAGGTCATCAGTGTACACATAGTTATCATTAGTAGTATGAGAGGTTTACAGGAAATTTTTAGATTTTTAAAGTTTAAATCACAAACTGACGAGTTCCGTACTGGGAGCAAATGGACGTCCAATATTTATGGGCTTTTATTGGTAATCTAGCTAAGATATGTTCAAAGTTAACAGTAAATAGTTGACAACACAATGTTTTTGGAAAATAAACATGGAATAATACAGGCAAACAGAGATAGACATCCATGCATGCAATATAATCAATAAAGTTACAAATAAACATCTAAAAGTCAGAAAAAGATGAAACAATACTTTATATCAGTCTGTCATATCAATTTATTCATGAACAATTACTTAATAAGGGATCACAATAGGTCACTACAGATTGAAGCACAGTACTTTAGTACTTGAATCCCAGTCAACAACTAATAATGTTTCAGAGAATTGGGCATATATTCTAACCTTCGCTCTCTCTCACAAACACACCTAATCTCATCAGTCTCTTTCGTCTTGTCTTGGCAATAGAATTTTATCACATGTAAGCTGATTTCATCTGCATTCAATCTGTAAAGTTGAACACAACTGTAATCTTTTCCCAAGCATCTAAACTCAAAAGGGATTATTGTCATTGGTTCCTTGCTGTTGTCACATAATTTATGACATGAACGTGGATGATTAACAGCTTTCTGTAATAACTCTCTTTTGAGTGAGTAATTTCATTTTGTTTAATATCCAAATATTTGCTGCAAAATCTATACCAATCGAGAACTAAACTGTTTAAGATTATCTTAATAGATAGATCTCATTATTGATATACAATTGATGATCTACTTTAGAAGAAGAGTTATCTTTTGATCCTCAAAACAGACTAATATTTATTGATTATTATTTCACAGTTCACAACTTGTTGTTGTAATTAGTAAATCAACAAGAATTTTTTATTGTGCCTGGTCCTACGTTGTAGCTGACTGACTGATTGTGCGCAAATTCACATTTTTTAGGTTTTCTTTTCTTTTTAGGCCTTAGTAGAAGTAAAACCAAGTCCTGATTTACGTATTATTCAAGTTGGATTAGAAGGACGTGTATCAGCATATGCACCAGAAGTATCTATAAATAAAGCTGTCCAATCATTAGCTTATTTAGAAGCTGGTACTTCTCGTTATATTTATATGCCAGTCTCGCCGAAACTACCTGGGAATACTTCATTTACAATATGTGCATATAGTTTTATCGGTTCCAATTGTGAAACACATACAATATATGTTCGTGTAAGTTTAAATTGAATTATTGTTATAGTGGAGTGATTTCGTATGTTGTTTGTAAAGCAAATACGTTCATGTTAAGTATTATTAATTTTGGAAGCTAAAACTTATATCAGTTTCGTGTAAATCCACATTGAACTGTGTCTATCAAGAAAATTTGTTTTCTATTAACTTGATCTAAATTTAGTATTTCCGTCCAAACTAAGCATTCATCAAAGCAAGCTTACTTAGATGATACCTTCGGAATATTCCAGTTTTCTAGTTAAATAGGAATTCTACCTATTGGACATAGTACAGTTCAACCACAAAAATCTTCAGAAAAAAAACGATGGTAACTCCACAAATAATGTTGATATCTTTCCGGTTGTGACTTATCATGTTCAACAGATATGGGTTAAAATTACTTCAGAAAATGAGTTTTTAAACAAACTTAGAAAGAACAGATCCGGGTGGCCTTCACAATACCTTATTTTATTTCTAGTTTCATAAGACTTGTGACAACCATTTCCATAAGCCTTTCGTATACGCTAAGAATATAATTCAACCTATTATTTTTAACAGTTGAATCCACAAATCGATTTAAGCTAGACCACTATTGGAAACCTTGAAGCACTGGACGGCCGTTTTGTCCTAGTATGGGACTTTTCAGCAGTGCGCATCCACGATCCCATACGCGGGGCTCGAACCCGGGACCTTTGGTCTCGCGCATGAACGCTTAACCTTTAGACCACTGAGCCGGCATCCAACAGTGTTGATGTCTAACTTCAATCGATCCATGATCGTGCGCAACCCTACATCTATTGTCTGGGGTGAATAACTGTTTCACATCCGACACGGATTGGACAACATTGGTCATGGCTTATCACTAGAACCCCAGGAAATCCATCTTGAAGCTAGTCACTAGTGAGCACATGGTTGTTATCAAAATGGGGATTTGTAGAAATCGTAGTCTTTTAACGGTTGAATTCACAAGGTTAAGCGTTTACGTGCATACCCGATTGTCTTGGGTTCCAGTCCCGCCTTCAGGGTCGTGGATGCACACTGCTGAGAAGTCCCATACTATGAAAAAACGGCCGTCCAGTTTGTTAACATAGTAAACTTGATGAATAGTGGCTATGATAATGAATATCACTTCCAGTATTAGTTCCCTGAAGATTGCGAACTCTTTGATAATGAACACTTTTTATCGATTGTATCCAACTACCTGACAATGTCACTTACATTTATCTTTGTTATTATTATTATTATTATTAGATGTAATCAATATTAGGCTTTTGTCATATCATAGAATTCTCAGCACAAAGTATCGCAACAAGTTTCCCATTTCCTATTTCTTGATCTATCCTGACGATAAACATTGATTGATCACCAGTTAGATGTTAGCAATTCAAGAATCAACATCAGAATAATGTACATTCTTAACAATGCACATTGCCAGCTACTATGATGTCTCTGATTGTACTTTTTGTGTAACTTGTACAGTGAAAGTTCGTAAACTTTTCATAAACGCACTTGAATAGGTTATGTAATTAATAGACATAATAATCTGTCAAAACAAAGAAAAAAAACAGACAATTCTTTGAAATATTTAGATGTCTGGAACAAGTAGCTCAGATATTCAGTATAATTCATGTATCTTCTAGTGAATCAATCAATTAGAATTCTATAGATTAACTTTTTATTCACTTATACGGTTTGTTTTATAAATTAACAATTACAGATGAATGGTGTAACAAATTACTATCATACTGCAAGTTTCTTAGATTTAACAAGTTCCAGTACATTATTTGTAAATAATTTCAAAATTATTGTTCCACAAAAATTTACTATACCAGAAAGACGTCTACATCGCTTTGTACCTGGATCACAGAAAGCTATTCTTAGTGTAGTTGGTAAGTTTACAATCATAATTAGTTTTTCATCAATATTCTAATCATTTTTTCATGTTCTGGTTATGTATATTACGTTCATTGATCAGAATTTTAATAGTTAATTAAATCATTTGTACTTATAATATATTGCATAATGAATTAAATTATCATCTGATTGAAATTGTTTTATTGTTCCCATTGGAATCTAATTAAACATATCTAATTTTAGCAGTTGAGATCATGAGTCAATTGAAGCTAGACCACCATGAAAAACCTGGGAGCACTGGATGGCCGTTTCGTTCTATTGTGGGACTCCTCAGCAGTGCGCATTCACGACCCCACCTCACGGGATTCGAATCCAGGACCTACCAGGCGCTTAACCAACTAGGGAAGTCAGGGAAGCCAGGGAAGTCCTACTCACTGCCTTCTCGTGGCGGGGGTGTTATTTACAAAAATGAGAGGACGAAAAGCGAATGTCTGGCGCTTTAACCGGATCCCAAACTGATGGTGCACATGGGCTCCAGTATCCTGCGGGAACAAATGGCGTATGAACCAATCGTTGGTCACCGGCTACCATGGGACTGCATCTCCTTACGATGCTCCACTGCCTTGTGGGTCAGACCTCTAGGTCAAAGGCTCGGGGAGTGGCCCCCTAAGAAAATCACCTGCTTCGGTTTGGGCACCCGGGCAATATCACAGCCCTCGCACATATCGAATAAGATTTGTGTGGCGCATATGTATTTGGTGCTTTCTTGTACCAATATCTATGTGTTAAAATAAATAAATAAATAACCAACTAGACCACTGAGCCGGCATCCGATGGCGTTAATGTCTAACTTTAACTAATCCATGAAATCGGGCGACACATCCAACTTAAGAGTCCCACAATAGGACGAAACGGCCGTCCAGTGCTTCTAGGTTTTCCATGGTGATCTAGCTTCAATTGACTCATAATCTCAACTGTTGAAATTACTACAATCTCCACAAAACCCCTTCTGATATCTAATTTTGATTGAAATCATGAATATGGATCATTGTTAGACCATCAGTAAAAACCTGGAAGCACTGAATGGCCGTTTCGTTTGATTTTGTCGTTTTAATTTATTGCTAAAAATTATGTATTCATTGAATTGGTTAATATATATATACTATTACTAATCTATATATCTTTGTAAATGAATTTAACTATTGGATCCATAATGTTGAAGGATTTATTTCTTGGATAAGAATATCAGAGAAGATGAAGAAGAATAAGAAAAAGAAGAGAAAGAACTAAAACTTAGGGATCAATAGAAGGAAAACATGGGAATGTTAATGTCAGTCAATGTGCATACATACATCATAGTTGTGTAGTATAGTGACCTTTAGGAAGACAGAGAGATTAATGAAAGGTTATCTTTTCTCTTTTAAAACATATTTTATCTATTATGTAAAAAAATCAATGCAAATGACATGGACTAATATTAATTATCGTATTTATTATACCGTAGTTTATCAGTATTGAAGATAAGAAAATGAAGCAATGTATATAAATATGACATTTTGTGAATAGATTGATTAACGCACATATTTTTCTAAAGTTCTATCTAAAATCAGTAGGCAACTTTCGTCAGGTTTTCATATTGTTTTTTTGAAGCTTCCCATTGATGTTCAGGACTGCAATTGATCAGTCAGTCTCTTATTGACATATGTGCATCCTGTACGGATTACCTCAATATTGCTTTAAGTCACAAACATTATAAGCAAAGATGGATATCGGCTAGCAGTGGAATTCAGGACGCGCGTTTCGTTCTATTCCGAACTACTCAGCTGGATGTACCTGCATCCTACATTTGATGTCCACTCAGGGACTCAAACCCAGTACAGTTCGCTTCAAACCTCATCGCGTTATTCACTTAACTACTGGGTTCAGATAGCCACTAGCTTGTGCAATGTGGTGAAGTTTTCAATACATTTTTGTATTGGTTGTTTGAATTTCCCCATTGACGTTCAGGACTGCAATTGATCAGTCAGTCTCTTATTGACATATGTGCATCCTGTACGGATAGCCTCAATATTGCCTTGACTTACAAGCATTATAAGTACAGACGGAACCAATAAAAGACTAAACGAAACTTGGTAGTTGTTTCATCAAAACCTTCAGGTTTTGTATCAGTTATATTAACTGTTGAGTCGGAATTCAATAATAATATCGTTCACAAGAACAATGAAATTTCCATAACCAAACCATCCAGATCAGAGAACAAAACTCCATCAAAATCATCCACTTGAGCTGCAAAATTCCATCATCTCAATTTACTCTTTCGTTATTTTTTCTTTAGGTGATTTTATCGGTCCAGCTTTAAGTGAAAAATTTCAATATGCTGATACACAAAATATTTTACGTCTACCTTTTGCAGCAGCAGAGAATATTTTCTTTGAATTAGGCTACAATATGAATTTGCTGCTTTATTTACATGGTGCTGGACACTTACCATATTCAGTATTAGAAAATGGATTAATTTATTGTTCTGTTGTATTACAAAAAGGATTTTCATATTTCAATCCGAAAATTGGTGCATTTTCTAATTTTAGAGACCGTTTAGATGAGTAAGTTATATTTATCATAATATATAACACTTATTTACTGAATGAGACTATAATTTATGGATGATCTTTGAGTGACGCTAAAGTGATCTTGAGAATGTTCACCTACCTATTAAGGATAAATTAGGAATTATGATTATGATTTACAGTTGATGGTTAGGTTAAGGAGTTATAGTTTAAGTTTTCATCACAAACTGACATCAGCTAAAATGTCAAAACCCTATTCAGTGAAATGGGCGAATGAACTTTGCGCTAAAATCCGAGACCTGTAACCATAAATCTGATTGGTTCATCCATAAATTAAAGTCTCGTCATTTATTATTATTATTAGTGGCTTTATTCAATATTATATTTTGGTACAATATAGAATTCTCGGTACAAGGTATTTCAACAAGTTTATTTTACAAAAAGGAAAAAAAACAAAGACAAAAAGAAAGGAAAAAAGATCTAAAAAAATCTGAAAAACTGTACAACTTCCCAAATTATAGACATGACTAGATTAACAACTTGTTCGTCACAGTATATTTACTAGGTAAGGTAATACAGAACTTTTATACTTGCTTGCTTGCATGGATTTCAATGTAATTTCGTCTCGTTCAACCAGAAGAAGGTATACAAGGAGAAAGATAAGAGTGAAGGGGATGGTTAGTATCTAATAAAATAAGGCCTGCCAGGAGTTTCCATGACCTTAGATGTCTATCCACAACCATATTAATTATGACCTTGAAAGATTCACCATACACCCTGCTAACTGCCTTCAGCATTCTTCGCAATACAGCAAAGACTTTTCTCGAAAGTTCGGTAAAGAGTAATGGAGAATAGTAAAGAATACTAGGTAATAAGCAGGAGTGGACAAATTGTAAGAGTAAATAACGAGTAATCCCAAAAGCATGCTATCTCTTTATGTAGTAAGTCAGACGGAAAACCTTCTTCGATAACAATAAAACGTGATAAGACTAAGAGAGATCAGATGGAAGGGTAACACCAAGATAATTGACCTTCGACACTGTTTATCAAAGAGTCTTCAATGGCACAAGCATTATGGGATCTCAAAGTGGTGTTTAGATACCGTTCATGTCTCATGCTAAAGTTAACAGCTTGACATTTAGACGGATTAAGGATGAGACCATTAACAACAGACCAACATTCATTACGAAACAAAAACTCATTTATTTCTATGGGATGTAAAGATGTAGAGATAGGCATACATACAGTGAGATCATCCCAATATTTCACAAAAGTGTTTACTGTGGAAGATGAACTTAATTCATTCACTAAGCTAGAACATTTTTAACTAGTCTTCCAATTAACTTAGTACAGTTTACTGAAAACAATGATACACTTGAATTATTTGAGATATAATTGGTATATTTCTTTATTTTCATCTCATATGAATAAGTTCAATCTCAGTTTATATTTCAATAAATGTGTAGGTGTAGTATTTCATCACTTAACATACCCTAGTTATTATTAGACTAATGATTTTCCATGTCAATTATTTTCATAAGCTCTATCTTGTTTTAATAGTATATGAAGAAAATCAGACGTTTTTTCCCTCTCTCTCTCTCTCTGAAAAGTTAAATTGAAATCACTATACGTAGTCATTCCCTAGTGTTTCTTATCAGGGTGCATTCAACGTATACACATCCATTCAACTATTCAATAAATATTAATCAATCATTTTTTCAAAGATTTGATTGGTCAGTACAATTTACACGTTTATAAAGCCATAGAAACTATTTGGTATCATTGTTACTATGATAATTACAATTGTTCATATAATTGTTAGAAAGATATTTTGTTGCCTATTTTGTAGAGAAGATTTATCTAAATCAAAATGTAAGCTAGAAAAACGATGGATCACAAAATAGTGACAATCAAATCATTGAAAATACAAAAAATTTAGTGTGTTTTAGTCGATGGGAAATACTTAATTACTAGCGTCTTTTTTTCAACTAGGCATCCAATTAAAAAAGTAAGCAAAATGAGGGAACTGTGTAGTTTGATTATGAAATTCATTGAATTACTATAAGATCATTGAAATCATGAATCGATTCGAATTAGATCAACATTGAAAACACTAGAAGGCCGTTTCGTCGTAGTTTGGGACTTCTTAGCAATGTGCATCTGCAACCCTGCATGCGGGAATCGAACTTACTGAATGCTTACTGACAATGAGACCATTATTTATATTTGATATTAACTAGCTAAAAACCCAGTTCTACAAAGAAACTGACTTATCATCAAATATCTTTCTAAAAACTGTTATCTAAAACCTTCAAAGGTGAATTTTCGACATCGAAAAATTCATCTTCAAAACAAACATCTAAAATAGTTCCAAATGCTCATTAATTAAATTCTTAGTAAATACAGATTCCCACTGAGTTACTAAGGGATGATTGCTCGTTCTTAAAAAGGTCATCTTTTGCGTAACATGATAAGTTTTGGTTTTCCATGTAAACTAACTCCCACATTAGCCATTATTCTTATGCTAAGTTGACAAAAACTATCTGAAACTAAAGTAAATCTTTTTGAATTAGTACAGTGATAGAACTGTTATCCAATGTTTATTATTTCAGAATTTCCCAACTTATTACTAACAAACAGTATACCACAAACACTTACTTAAGCTTGTTACTCCTCATGGAGGAGCATAGGCCGCCCATATACCACAAATGACATTTTTAAATTAAAGAGAAGAGTTCCTATGATAAACTTTACTGTTTGACTCAGCTACGAATTGTATACACAACATTTAATCAACAAAAATTAACTGAAAACTATGTACAAATTTCTATTTGCTATGTAACCACACGTATTTCATGTTTATATTTACAAATGACCTAGACAGAATTTTAGAAAAATAACATGTTTAAACCATTAGAAGATAAGAGCATTAGCTTGAACTACAGTCTAGACATTTTTCCCAATATTTTTTTTTAATATCTAAACAACATTTTTTAAGCAAAGATAGATAGCGGCTATCAGTGGAATCGATTCGATAGGTCCTGGGTTCGAATCTCGCGGAGCGGGATCGTGGATGCACACTGTTGAAGAGTCCCATACTAGGACGAAACGGCCGTCCAGTGCTTCAAGTTTTCCAATGGTGGTCTAGCTTAAATCGGTTCATGAATTCAACTATTAAAATTACTAAAATCTCCACAAAATACCCTTCTGATATAAACTTAAAAGTCGTGAGTACATGTTTACATTTGATTTAATGATATAATACTTTCTGATTAACATGCCTAATTGATTAGTTGAATAATAAACCATAAACTAACTATAAATTATATAATAAACTATAAACAACAATTTCATCACACCTAAAATGAAATAAAACAATGGAAAATGTTCAAGTGACTATGAACTATATATCACAACCACTGTGATATTAGATACCCTATCTTAACAGTAATTAACAAACTGTTGCATAATAATGTTATCGAGTTTAATACAGTAAGACTAACTTATGCAACAATCTTCAATTCATTGGATATCGTCATAAAAGAAAATGACGATAACAATACTTTCAGTGTGTGGTCTTGCAAATCATTGAATTTCATCAAATTTGAAAACCAATGTAAGTTAGATCAACACTGATGACCTAGAAGCAATAGACGGCTGTTTCTTTCTATTATGAGACCCCTCGGCAGAACCCATGTACAAATCCACACGTCGTTTATGCGCTGTTAATGTCTAACCTCAGTGATTCAGTAGTCTGGAGGTTAAGTGTTCGCGAGAGAGATCGAAGATCTTGATCTAAATTCCTGCGTCCAGGGATTGTTGATGCGCACTGCTGAAGAGTCCCATATTAAAACACACGTTCAATGTTTTCAGGTTTTCAATGTTGGTCTAACTTGGATTGGTACATGATTTCAACGAAAAAATGGTATTATTGATCTTGCGATTTTCAGAGGAAGATATGAACTAACTCATTGTCACCTTAGGTGAGATCAGTCTATTTAGTGTACTTGGGATTCATTAACCAACTATAGCTCCATGCTTAAAACAATCTGGAAAATTTGCACCTCAAGTGGGATACCTTAGTTGATATTTTGTTCTCTTAGTTGGTTGGGCGAGACTATAATTTATAGACGAACCAATCAGGTATAGGACAACAGCTCTCGGATTTTGGTGCGGAATTCCCTCATTCATTCGGATAAATAGAGTTTTGGCATTATAGCTGATGTCAGTTCGTGATGAATACCCTAAATCTAATTCCCAACCTTAACCATCATCTGCAAATCATAATTTCAATTGCTCACACTGGTTTATAACCCTTATTTAGTCCTAGTTATTAGGTGGGCACTCTCAAAGTCACTTTAGCGTCACTCAAATATCGTCCATAAATTGTAGTTTCATCGTTGGTTGTGGTTTCATTACAAAGTTTTCATTATTGTTCTAAACTAGATTGTCAGCGTTTGCTTCACGTAAAATTCAATGAAAATGTTTCATTTTCTCCGTTTTGACAAATGTTATTTATTATATTTGAGCCGATTTTTTTTGTCTTAGTGCTAAAATCGAAGCATTGGAATCAGAAATTTGAACTCATAACACGGTAGTTAAAATTCAAAGTCTTTAACAAAAAACCTACTACTTCTTTATTTTGCTACACGATTTCACTAAACAATGCACTACAGTAATTTCTTTTTCTGTCATAAATAAACAAGCAACACAATTAATTTAAGTATTGTAAAAAGATTAGATAAGACTATGACTTATGAACAACCTTAGAACGAAGCTAAAGTGACCTTGAGAAAGTTTACTTACTTACTGGGATCAAACTAGAGTTATCAATTAGTGTAATAAATTAAGATCAGAATTTAGAGTTACAATTTTCATCACGAACTTACGTATAAATACAATCTGTTAGCCTAACACTTTTCGTTTAACACCACATGTCTCTTGCACACTAATGTAAATACAAACTTTAAACATTGTCAACGTTGATTGGATGACTTATTCAGTATACAGTAAACCAGAGAACCATGTACTTATTTATATTCGATAATTTTGATGTTTAATTATATTTCTTTGAAAAAGCTTGGATCAGATTGCCAGATGAAACGTTGAATTTACTTCAAGTTCTTTCACTGAGATTTTACAAATGCATCATTCTTCCTCTTTAATATCTCACATTAACTCAGCACCCAAATACTGTGAAACTATTCAATCAAATTTAGACGAAAGTTCTGATTGAACTAATATCGATTTTAAATGCGAAAAATTCTATTCAACCAATATAGATGAATGAGTTTCACGGTAAAATTTAATACTTCCTATCTTTACTTTAATTTGTCCATCCATAATTTATAGTCTTGCCAAAAAGCAAACTTGATGTTTTAGATGTATGTACATGTTAGTTACCATAGGTTATTACTAATATAATATTACCGGATTAGTAATAGCTTTAAAGTGGGACACTTAGTCTCTTTTCTTCCCATCTTTGTCATTTGTCATACAAGATTGTGTTGTTTCAGGGTGAAAAATTTCATACAATAGTTCAGTTCAGTTTATCTTTTGTTTTCTTTCTTTCTCTTTTCTTTCTTTAAATCAATATTTAGTGGGTAAGACTAACTTTCTTTCACATGTTACAAGTATACATATATGTATTTATTGATTTGTAAATGCCGGTAAAAATTAATGTCTAGTTAAATATTTCCAATTGTTCAAGGTCATTATTGTTACCTGTTACAAAACTGATGAACTTAGATGATTGTTTTATGAACCATTTTTCTCCTCGATTCACAGGTTAAGACTATGCATATTACTGATGACGAGTATAGTATTATATTAGGACAAAGGGATGAATCTTTTAAACCCTAATCCCAGAGTAGTAGAAGTAGTAACATAATTAGTGTTATTAGAAAGGATTAGGTATCGAAGATATCATTTAAAAAGAAAATATAAATTAACGAAGTAAAAATATTATTTGTTTTTCAGAAACTTATGATGTAAGATAAGATAAATAACAAATGTACCTACGCTATCGCAAACCATTTCATTTAAGATATCTAATCATTGATTACGATAATCCCAACAAGGACTCTACACTTACATGGCTCAGATCAATTGTCAGTAACTTCATAGGTTGCTATCATGTTTTAGTTTGGCTGCCCCTAGCTTTCTTCCAGCCTACTTCTACACTGGACAATATCGGCCATCAAAGTAGGTGGTGGTTGTACATATATAACACATTTACTATCTGATTAATCGATCAATCAATCATCGGAAAAAAGCCGAAGACATTTGATCCGATTATCTTTTGCAAGAACATATTAGAAGTTTGACATGAAGCTTCCCGATTGAACAAATGCTAAAAGCCACTGTAACAATTATGTTCCCGATTTATTTAACGTTAAGGATAAACGTAACTGATGTTTATGACAATTCTGACATTTTATCTACACAATATTTCATTAAGACATGGTAAAAGTGCCCGTTTATAAGTTTATCTTCCTTCTTTTATGTCTGCCGTTACACAAATTTATCTATAGGGATATTTGTGGTACTTTCAGGGTTGAATTCATGAGTCGATCTAAGCTAGATCACCAATGGAAACCTGTAAGCACTAGATGGCCATTTCGTCCTAGTATTAGGACTCCTCAACAGTGCACGAGACGGAAAGTCCTAGATTCGAGTAGCGCATGAGGGGTCGTAAACGCGCACTGCTGATAAGTCACATACTAGGACGAGACAGCCGTTCAATGTTTCCAAGTTTTCAATAGTGTTCTTCTAACTAAAATCAGTCCATAATGTAAATTATTTAGAAAATTCAGAAATTTCCATAGATTTAATACTAAAAATAATAAATTTGCTTCCTCTTTTTTTCTTTCTTTCATCTCTAGAACTGATCCACTAGTTACAGCCATTGCATTATGGAGTTTACTATTAACGAGGCAAACTCAATGGAATCGTTTGATTTACGTAGATGATAATACATTTGTTAGTATTATTAATTATTTAAAACAAACACAACAATTCAGTTCATATGATAATGATATAACTAATCAAACAATAGTTGATATTCGATTATCTGGTAGTTGGAATATTTCTAATGTTATAGATAGACGATTTTCTCCTATAATTAATAAAACTAAATGGCCTGATTTAATTGATCAGGAATGTCATCGTCGAATACCATCAACAGCTATGGTTATTATTGCATTACGTTCAACTGAACGTACTTTGCCTAGTGGAGTTGGTGCAGATAAAGCTGAAAGAATTGTTTCTGAAGCTGTTAAATTTCTTAGTCGGCATATATTAAATGTTGATGATTTATTTTCACAAATGATTGGTACATATGCTTTGAAAGTTGCTGTCGATGCAACATCACAACATAAAATATCACAGTAAGTATTAGATACTTTTCTGTTTAGAAACTTTTATTGTATGCGGTCAGTATTTTTTTTTTTAAATTGATATGTATATTGTAATGTTTCGCTAGATCTCAAGTTTTATCTGAATAAAATCCAGTGGCTCTGGTCTTTTGTGCAATTCACTCATATAAGTAGAGATGGGTGGTGGCTAACAGTGAAGTCCAGGACGCGCGTTCCATCTTACTTGCGACTTGTCAGCTGGATGTACTTGCATCCCAGAGTTAATGTTCACCTCCGGACTCGAACCCATTACCGTTCGCTTCAAACGTTATTGCGTTATCCACTCAGATGCTTGTACAATGGGTTGAATTCTAATTTTGATTCATATGTGTATTGGTTTTTTTAATCTTCCCATTGATGTTTAGAACTGCAATTGATCAGTCTCTTATCGACATATGTGCTTTCTGCATGAATTGCCTCGATATAGCCTTCAGTCACAAGCATTATAAGCTGAGATGATGATGATGATGATGGCTAGCAGTGGAATCCAGGACACGCGTCCTACTTGTCAGCTGGATATAACTGCATCCCAGAGTTGCTTGTGACTGAAGGCGATATCGAGACAATCCGCACATAATCCACATATACTAATAAGGGAATGATCAGTTGCAGTCCTAAACATCAATGAGGAAGATTCAAGCAACCAATACAAAAAGGGATTATTATTATCGAAGTACGTTTATTGTTTTTTTTTCCAGTGCATTGAAACGAATTGAAGCATTTCGTCAAAAAGGTGATTATGTCTACTATGCTAATTATAGAATACCTCCACCAAAATGGGAATTAGATCAAGCTGGTAGACGTATTGAAAATCCTCGTTTAGAAATGCCTAATGATGGTTATGGTGTTTTATGTTCAAGTATTTATTTCTTGTTAAAACATGAATTAGGTGAATGGTCATTTCGTTCATCTGAGGCATTAGACATGGTTCATTGGTTAGCTAGTGAACGAAATCATGTCGCTGGATTTGCAAGTACTTTTGTAAGTTAAAATTTTAAGAGGGTTTTTATTAAATTTTATTGAAATTGAATAATCTGTCAATTTGTTAGGATCTTCTATAACCTATGTATTCCGGTAAATGTGTTTTGACCATCAATTTTTCTTGGAGTTGTAGGTTGACTTTTTGATAATGAATACCTTATCGAGTGATAGACAGAGTCATGTAGATAGGTTTAGAATACCTATTTGGGGTTTGCGCGACCAATGGTTAACAACTTCAGATGATATGATTCAGAATCCTTCACGATGGCGCATGTGCGATTACTCTATATCTTTTCTTTAGTTGTTAAATCTCGAAATCGCCTTATATCTTTTTTGCATTTTTTTTGCTAGTCTTTTATACTACTTGTAGTACTGATACTGTTTCAACCTCTACTACTCTAAAATTTGTCTTGGTAATTTTTATTTTACTGTCCTAGTGGGTGTGGCAACTTAAGCTGATGCACATATATGTCAGGTTCTCTGTTGAATATAACTGACTGACTTCAATAGATAAGAAATAATTTTAACTCTTCCTACCAGTCCTCTTCAACAATTCGAAATTAGTTTTTGTGAAACTTATGTCTTTCGCTTACATAACTTAAAAACAAAATATCGTTAGTTAGTACGCTTCAAATACCTCTTCTAACTTACTATAATTTATGGATGAACCAATCAGGTATAAGATAACAGCTCTCGGATTTTGGCGCGAACTTCACTCATTCATTCGGATAAATAGAGTTCTGGCATTATAGCTGATGTCAGTTCGTGATGAATACCCCAAATCTAATTCCTAACCTTAACCATCGTCTGTAAATCATAATTCCAATTGCTCATAGTGGTTTATAACCCTTATTTGGTCATGGTTATTAGATGGACACTCTCAAGGTCAGTCTGGCGTCGCTCGAATATCGTCCATAAATTATAGTCTCACCCTCAAGGCCTACCAGTCTCATTGTGATCAAAAGATCACTGACTTCTCTCTAAATAGGACTTAAAATTGATCGTTTTCTAATATTTTTATGATCATGATTTATGTTTGCGCGTGTCAAACTTAATATATCCATTAAAACCAATTGGGATTTGTCCAATATTCAATTCGTAACTTGACAATAAATCAGCTATCATTCTTGAAAAGTATTCATGATGAAATAATTTATTGTACAATGGATAATATATGCCTTTTTCCATTAGAAAAATGTCCTCTTTCATACCATCTATGTACAATTATGTAAGAATGTATTCTAAGATTTTTACATTGTTAACAACTGTTTCTTACATTAAGTTAAAGTATTTAAATACCATTACTATAGTCATTCAGTTTTTTTTAAGTATCTTCGAAACATTGCTCGTATATCATGGGACCATCGAGTAAGTTACACAGTTGTTAGGAAACGAGTACTAAGTAAGGATGGCAAATCAATTGATGAAGTAGTGAAACTTCATCAGTTGAGATGGCTGGGACACGTGTTACGTATGCCCAACGACCGACTGCCTCGACGTGCGATGTTCAATGGTATGTGAGTAGGTTGGAAGAAAGCTAGTGGCGGCCAGACCAAAACATGGCACAAGTCCATGAAGTCACTGACAAGTGGTCTGAGTGATGTTGGTAGGTGTAGACTACCTGGTTGGGGACCGCGAGATAATAGCAACCGATGGTTAGAGACCCTGAACGACATGGCTCAAAATCGTTTGCAATGGCGCAGGTGCATCCACTCTTTGTGTTCTCCCAAATTCTAATCTTCTGAATTCTTTATGTCCCTTTTTTCCTCTTTCCAAATTTATTTCACTGGATTATACTCTTTAAATAACATCTCTAAACCCTAATCTTCCCGATTACTGCTTATACTCTTGCTACCTCTACCACTACGGGATTTGAATCGACCACTGCATCACTGTGCTAATGTGGTGTGGCAACTCGAACTGATGTACGTACGTACGAAGTTCTACGTTGTTACTGACTGACTGACTGGTAATTCTCGGAATTCGGGTAAGAAACCGTAACCGGTGAAGTTCAAACGTGTTGAGTGTGAGGCATTTACCCACCGACGACAATGAAAGATGGTTGCGCAATATCGTGGATTGGTTAAAATTAGACATTAACTTCGTTGGATCGCGGCTCAATGGTCTAGAGGTTAAGTGTTCACACACAAAACCGAAGGTCCTAGGTCCAAATCCTGCATGCGCGATCGTGGATGCGCACTGCTCAGAAGTTCCGTACTAGGACGAAACGGCCGTCCAGTAATTTCAGGTTTCCAATGGTAGTCTAACTGATCAGTTCATGATTTCAGTTAGAACTCAACAATCCTCACAACCCTATAATGAAAATTACTTTCATCTAAAGACGAATTCAATATTGAAATTTATCGGTATTAAAGAATAGTAAATAGAGCTGAACTTTTCTTTTAACGATCAGTAGATATTTTCAGTTTGGAACCATTCAGTAGAATACCTTAAAGTAAGAAGTCATAATTACTGGATTTTATTGGTATTTGTATTTGTAACATTAGGGAAACTTACTATGGTTTTAATATTTGAATGTACATACCCTATTTACCATATCTATTCATGTAACGAATGTTTTCTTCTCAAATCAACAGCAGTTCTTTTCCTTGTTGTATCCCATTCTATATCTCTGTTGCCATCAGCTCATTGATTTGTAAATGTCATATAATCAGTGATCAAAATAATCCACTACTTACCGGTACTTTCCAAAAGAACTCAGTTATAACTAGATTAGATCACTGGCTTAGAAGAAATTTGGTTTAAATTTTAAAAAGCATGAGTTTTACAAATACAAGAACAATTCAACTACTTAATTCAGACTTTATTCAAATATTTAAAAATATACGTAAAATTTTATTGGTCTCATATGGTTGTGAACGAAGTCTCTGCGGGAAAAGTACATAATGATTTGGTAAACTATGAAAATTATACATTAAATACATCATTTACACATCTCCCATCAGTTTTTCTTTACCTGCACTATTATTCCTCTAATTCTGTTTGCATCTTGATTCTATTTCGATTTTCTTTTTGTTCTCTTCAATTCAGTTTACTGATATCAAGTATTCCACTGCTGACTGGGAATACATACTACTTATATCTGTTAGTATAAGTAGCATACACCACAATATTATCTGTGTTAATGTTTAAAGACTATTTCTCATTTGATAGGCTTTAAATTAATTTAATCTACTAAATTTTCTTTTCTTTCTGTCGAATAGGATTCACTTTTCGCAATGCATGCATTAAGAAAATTTGCACTGGCTGATACAAATCGTGCTTTATATAGAATGGCTATAGATGAGAAAATTTCTTCAATGAGTACATGGACAAATCGTATTTACATAGATACTCACAATTATTCAACTGTTACGCATACAACGGTAATAATGTTGTTTTGTTTTTCTCATTTATACTTTAGTTTGATTGAAATTTGAAATAATACAATTGTGGTGCATGCTACTTATACTGACAGATATAAGTAGTACGTAGCACTAATTGGAACTGGAACACTTGACAGCATAATATTACAATAAAGAGAATGGGAAGGTACTTTGAGAGCATCAATAAATTGGTCCTCCTCACCAAGTTTTCGTTCACTCAAGAACAGAACATACTCGTAAGTTACTAGTATTTAACACAGATGTCTTAGAAATATAGCTCACATCTGCTAGGATCACCGGGTAAGTAATAGTGAGATTAAACACAGGATGTTAGGAAATGATGGTAAATCAGTTGGTGAGGTTGTGAGTCTTTATCGACTGAGGTGGTTGGGCCACGTGTTACGTATGCCTGAACACCATTTACCAGGACGTGCAATGCTGACTAGTGTTAGAGATGGATGGAAGAAAATTAGGGGCGGCATCAGTCCTTGAAGTCGCTAACTTTCAGTCTTAGCCATGTTGGAAGATGAAGACTACTTGGTTGGGTTCCTCGCGACTATCTCAGCCAATGGTTGGAGACTGTGGGTGACAAGGCTCGGAATCGATCATAATGGCGTAGGTGTATACAGTCTTTATCTTCCCTTAAACCGTGAGATTAAAATTACTTTATACCTTACTAAATCTTTCTTCCTGTATTATGTCCTTATACACAACCTTTCTTTTATATATTACTACCATTGAAGTGACTTATTCTATGAGTTTGGTGTTCTTCATCTTGTTGTGCCAATGAGGTATTGCAACTTGGACCGATGCATATATGTGCCTGGTCTTACGTCGTAGCTGAATGATTGACTAACTGAAGACCTATAGTTATCTTAAAGAGTTTGGAACAAGCTGACAAAGACATTCGTGGAGAAAATACAGTTGTTTTTGGGCGGAAGCCAAGTCAAGGAGCAAAATGTCATCGATTTTCTTAGGTTTAAATGCTCATGATAAACTTTGAACTGTTGCCGAAAAAGAATCCTTTATAGTATGTCTTCATTGTATTATCATGGATGCAGAACTTGAAACTTTTCAACTATCCTATTACCAACATTATTGTTTCGTACAGTACTACTGGTAGAGGGCGAAAATCAATGAGAGGTTTCGATGTAGTCTTCAATTTCAATCCTTAATTATTTTTTCCTTCGTTCTTTTATAAACTATGTTATTCTGATTGCATATTTTATTTTTGAATAATATTTTGAATTTGTAATTGTATTATACGGTGAGTTGATCACTGAGTCTACCTGGAAAAATATATTCTGTCAGGATTTAAGTATTGGTTGGCTATAATGACACTTGATGAGGAAGTCAAAAGAAGAAGTTTGGTATTGAAAGTCGACGTAGAAGGAATAATAGGAATTGAAGAGGGAAGTTGATTATGAATACAATGGTCTTGAGTGCTGTTGGAAGTATGAGGGTGGTTATCACTTCCCGGAGGCCCACACCATGGAAAAGTTCTTCTGGAGGTACCTGAAAAGGAAATTGGGTTAGGAGTGGCCTTAGCGACCTGAGAGCGTGACCACAGAACCCAAGGGACAACTGCTTGAGGTCAGCTACGCATGACCTTTTTTGTGGGTAATTTTTGTATTAGCTCCGTACTTGTTGAGACCTTACCGCCGGAGACGGATATCCGTGGGATAAAGCGATGTATGCATTTTTAGGGTCGACCTCTCCAAACCCCACCCCTTCATGTCGGGAGGTAGCATCGCTGTTATGCTGGTTGTCTGGAGGAAACACCATACTGTCGTCACACCTCTGTACAGTCACCAGTATGACTTCGCCCTCAGACCTTGAGTTTGCTGCTTTTAGTCTTACCACGCTTAAACCGACCTGTTTGGTATGGTAGAACCTTGAGGAACGATTGTTCCAACCAGTATAGCCTGATCGATTCATTACGATAGTCAAGCCCGACCACCACATCAAGGTGAATGTTGATTACATGAAGAAATTACTCGCTTGACAATATCATTTATTTTATTAATTTTACTAGTCATTTATATTAATACGAAAAAAAAAGTCTTTTTCATTCAATAATTTGAAAACATCCGCCAATCATAAATAGGAAGATCGAAGAAGAAATTTGAACAAAACAGATATTCAATCCTTTTTTAAAATTTGTATTTCCTTTTTCAGTAGTATCATTCATTCATCCTATTAAAACAGGTAATTGAATTATTTTATAAAAAATATGTATGAATTTTATTTATTAGAACAAAAATATATCCAATTTATTTCAAATATTATTCCATCTTATTCCGTTTGTTTTGTTTTTTTGGTTTTTGTTGTACATTAGTTTCCATCAGATAATGTATGGGGTGATATTACAATGAAATTAGAAGGTACCGGACGTGTTCTATTACAATTAGATGCAGAAGTCAATGTAGAATATAAAGAAATGCAAAAAATGCCTAAAAATCCATTAGATACAGAACAAGTATATAGAAGTTTTGAAATTGAATGTACACCTGGTTTTTTAAGTCGTAATAATTCTATTATGATTATGACTGCATGTGGAAGATGGGTTGGAACTACGGTAAATTTAATTAACCTTCATATTATTTTTATGTTATAACGCTGAATATATTTTCCGGTCTCCTATAAGTGGACGGTGACTGTTTATTCATTTGATTAAATGTAATGCTTAAAATAATAAGAATATATGTATGATATAGAGAAATAAGTCATCTATATTTAAAGATTGTTAGATGAAAAATGATTATCATTTTTTTTAATATATTCGATTATTTGTGACTAATATTTGAACTTATGTGTAATTGAAATGGAGATGCTTGCTAAGGAACTCTCCTGACAGCCTACTTGAATATCTGGGCTACCTGTTCCTGACATCTAGATATTTCAATAAGTTATCTACTTTTTGTTTGTTTTAACACATCATTATGTCTATTAATTGCATAACCTATTCAGGCGTGTCTATGAAAATTTTACAACTTATCATTGTACAAATTACAAAAAAATTACGATCAGAGACATCCTAGCGGTTGAAAATTTACATCGAAAAGAATATGCATTATTCAGATGTCGATTCTTGAATTGTTAATATCTAACTAGCGAGCCACTCAATGCTTATCGTCAGGATCGACCAAGAAATAAGATATGGGAAACTTGTTGAGATACTTTGTGCTGAGAATTCTATATTGTATCAAAAATACAATATTGAATAAAGCCATTAATAATAGTAATAAATACAAATTAATAATTAACTATTTGACGATAATAAATAAATTATGAATTAGGAATGATTATAGAATTCATGCTAATTTACAGGCATAATTAATTTGATACAGAAAACAACATTCAGTCAGTAACAACGTAGAACTTCGTACGTATGTACATCAGTTCGAGTTGCCATACCACATTGGCACAGAGATACAATTTTCTATTCAAATCCCATAATGGTAGAGGTAGTAAAAGTATAAGCGGTAATCGGAAACATTAGGGTTTAAAGATGTTAGTCAAGGAGTATAACCCAGTGAAATAAATTTGGGAAGAGAAAAAAAAGACAAGGAGAATTCAGAAGATTAGAATTTGGGAGAACACAAAGAGAGGATGCACCTGTGCCATTGCAAATGATTTTGAGCCATGTCATTCAGGGTCTCTAGCCATCGGTTGCTATCATCTCGTGGTCCCCAACCAGGTAGTCTACACCTACCAACATGGCTCAGTCCACTTTTCAGTGATTTCATGCACTTGTGCCATGTTTTGGTCTGGCCGCTCCTAGTTTCACTACTTCATCAATTGATTTGCCATCCTAACCTAGTACCCGTTTTTTAACAACTTCATTACTACTCGGTGGTCTCAGGATATTCAAGCACCTATGATCGAATACTAGTAGCCTACGAATATCCACTACTCTTACCGGCCATGTTTCATTACCATAAAGTAGGACAGTACGAACTGCTGCGCAGTAAACCCGTCCTTTGGTAGACCGCACTAACCCAGAAAACAACATTACATTTAAAGGATAGAGATATGAGGTTAGATTATTGGAAATGGTAGGGTTTGTAAATTGTTTAGAAATAACATTTACCATAAACACTAAAGCAATGTATGGCAGGATTTGGAAACCATTAGTTCATAGTAGGGGGAACTATGATATTCTGTTAATATATAACTGGTATATCGAGAATTATCTCTACTGATATTACAGAGTAATTGTAGTCATCTACAACTAGAAAAAAATGTATAAACAGGGAGGCTGTAATAATAACATTAAAAGTTAATGTGATAGCTTAAATAAGTGACAAGTTCTTTTATGATTAACTAGTGACAATGTGAGTGTTAAAATGTCTTCAAGAAAGTAAAGTGGTTAAGTATGCTCAGTAATAACAATATTTAAACATTTAGTGTTCCTATAATTCCAATAACGGAACGAGATACAGTTAGAGGCGTAAGTACCTTCAAGGTTGTTTCAAAGAAGTGAATATCTATGAAGTAATTTTATTTCACCAACAGATTGCAGCAAATTATTCTAGAGTCTCGAAAATCTACTCGTAAAATAATTCACATAAAGAGAAGATTTAGAATGAGACAGTTTCATAATTGCTAGAGAGTTCAACAATTGTTATAATTGTCTTTACTTATTTGTTTGCATCAGAGGATGTAAAAGATGTTTTATCTAGTATTTTGAAGAGGATTAAGTTTAGTTTAAACCTATGCTTCTATAAAAGGTCGATTCCATATTTAATTCATCGGTATTTCTAATTTGAGGTAAAATAATTCCAAAGAATACTTGATGTAAATTGTCGCTCGACGGATTCCGATATCAGTTTATTCTTTATGCGAACAGTGATCAGAATGCAAACGAAATATACTAGAAGTAGATGAACACATACTTTTTATATCAAAATATGTGAATCATTTTTATAGAGGTTACGAAGTATACAGTGCAGAAGACGTTTAGACTTGTAAGCTTATTTTAAGACCTGTTCTGAGAAGGACAAATTATGTGAATACCTGATTCCCAAGTCCACCATTTTATGAAATCTAGATAACATCCTATCATTTATACTGAAGTCTATGTTGAGGAAAAGGCCACCCAAGTAATGCCATATAAATTTAGTATTGCCAAGTTTCAAACTTCATTTTGAGAAAAACTGGGTGACCTTATTGGGCCACATACTGATACAGTTTCCTATATGGTTAAGCTCAGGAAAAAGAATAAACCACTTAAATATCATCTGTACACAAAACAGACATTACCAACTAGATGTTATCGTTTGTTTAAGCTTTAAATTGCAAAGATCCTAGGACATCCACTTATATTACCCCACTTGTGATCAGAATGGGTGCTGATAAGGAGGAGTTTATTTTAGCTATTTGGTATCAGTGAATGAGAAAAAAATCAAGACAACTAACCAGGTTTGGTTATACCTTAAATAAATACAAGTTCGTTCCAAAGAAATTGAACGTCGTTTTTCTGTTCGGTTAGCTAGTTTTGCTAGAATTAAAAAGAATTTATCTCTCCTTGAATATAAAACAGTGATCAAGATTTTAGAAAACACGAAAATAAATATTTGATTAAAATAATCCTCATCACACCTTTACTCTTACTCTCTTCAAAGAAGATAAAGGAAACTTTATACATGAAGCTTCAAGATGTACATAGTTTTTGACATCATGCAATCTCAATGTATCTGACTGAGTCCTTCGTGTAGTCATGTGTAATTTTAACATACTGACTTTATTCTCTATTAGTCTGACTTTGAAAAATAGAAAACCATTCAGTATCATTGTTTACCGTGAGTTTTTATATGATCTTAAAAAGATTCTATGTAGTTGCCAAACAGATTCAAATTAATTTCTTTTAAAAATTTATTTTATATTAAACTTTTGTATTTCATCTAAAGGGTATTGAACCATTACCTCAAAGTGGGATGGCTGTATTTGAAATTGGACTACCAACAGGTTTCATAGTTTTAAATGATGATCTAAGACGATATGTAAATAGTCTTATGGTTCCAAATCTACGCTATGCACGTGCCAATTCTAGATATGTACATTTCTTTTTTGATACAGTAAGTAATGAATTCATAAACTAAATGTTTATTAAAACTGTTGCTGTGACTATAATTTATGGACGATCTTTGAGTGACGCTAAAGTGATCTTGAAAACGTTCACCTACCTACTAAGGATAAATTAGGTTTATAAAGCAGTGTGAAGAAAAAGGATTATGATTTACAATTGGTGGTTAGGGTAAGGAATTAGAATTATGATTTACAGTTGATGGTCAGGGTTAGGAATCAGATTTAGAGTTTTCATCACGAACTGACATCAGCTACAATGCCAAAACTCTATTTAGCCAAATGGGTGAATAAATTTCTAGCCAAAATCCAAGACCTGTTATCCTAAATCTGACTGGTCAAATTTTCTTATTCAATAGGACCCTTAGTAATGGAAGTTTTAAACTAATTTATTTGATTATTGAATACTTGTAGTTGAAATTAAACTATACAAATACTTTTTTCCCGCCAAACTAACTATTCTAAAGAATATGTATATGACAGACTTGGAAATGATTATTCATTTCTATATTCATGTTGATAATAACTTTCCATGAAATTTATTTTAATGATTATCCATAACTTAATACATTTAAAGAAGCCTATAACTTTGTGTATCATGTTGTGATTCAAGAGCAGTTGGTGGTTCTATGTATCTGATTATCAGTAATATTATTTGATAAACCAGTTACTTTATTCATTTTTATATTATTGTTTGTTTGAATCTTCCGATTGATGTTTAGGACTGCAATGGATTAGTCTCTTATTGGGATATGTATATCCTGTGCGGATTGCCTCGGTATAGCCTTAAGTCACAAGCATTCCAAGCAGAGATAGACGATGGCTAGTAGTGGAATCCAGGACGCGTATTTCGTTCTATTTGGGCTCTTCAACTGGATGTACCTTCATTCCAGATTTGATGTTTACATATGCCACATATTTACATATGCTCAATTGCAGTCTTAAACATCAACAAGAAGACTCAAACAAACAATACAATATGAATTTAGACTTCACCTCATTGTACAAGCTAGTGGCTACCTGGACCCAGTAGCTATGTGGATGACGCGATGGTATTTGAAGTGAACAGTACTGGGTTTGAGTCCCTGAGTGAACGTCAATTTTGGGATGCAGGCACATCAAGCTGACTAGTTCGGAATAGAACGAAACGCGTGTCCTGAATTCCACTGCTAGCCAATATCCATCTTTGCTTATAATGCTTGTGACTTAAAGGAATATTGAGGCAATCCGTACAGGATGCACATATGTCAATAAGAGACTGGCTGATCAATTGCAGTCCTGAACATCAATCGGCGGATTCGGACAACCAATACAAAAATGTATTGAAAACTTCACCACATCGCACAAGCTTGTGGCTATCTGAACCCAGTAGTTAAGTGAATAACCCGATGAGGTTTGAAGCGAACTGTACTGGGTTTGAGTCCCTGAGTGGACATCAAATGTAGGATGCAGGTACATCCAGCTGAGTAGTTCGGAATAGAACGAAACGCGCGTCCTGAATTCCACTAATAGCCAATATCCAGTTGCTTCATTGTTTAACTGGAACTGTTTTAGAATATGAGATACTTTTAATAAATAAATCTGATAATAAGAAGTTAAATTATTCGTTCTTTATTGTGTTTAATATTTCTTTTATTACTGTAACATCTAATTAATTTCATGTGAAGATGAAAACTGAGTATGATATGATATTTGTTAAAAAGAAAATTAAAATATACTAAAAGTAATAAAATTTACAAAGATCTTAACACTCAAACTCTATAGTCTTCTAGATATTCATGAAGGTAACACAGCAGTATGATCAAATCTTGGTATGTTTAACTAGTTTTGGCATTAAAATGAATTGGATAAGTTGTTAGGGTTCTATTTCAATTGTTTGTGGCCCTCGAATGTCTGACTTCAAATGGATCGGCCGAATGATTGGTGTCGACTTAAATCGCATATACGTATATTTCGTTCAATCAGTGATCCAGACAAACGACCAATGAAACGAAGTGATGTGCGGTGGAAAAGACACATGAGCCAACTCGATTTAACTAAGCGTGAATCGATATTTATATTCAGACAAAATTAAGTTACAGACATATGATGAGTAAGATAGGAAATGCACACACATAAGCTTACATAAAAACAGTCAAGATTAATGAGCGAATAAGTGACAGGGTAAAAATGTGAATCAAAAAGAACTAATAAATTGGTCTGTCTGAAAGCTAGAATAAGCTATGTGTGTTTGACATAGCAACCGACACTACAGATTCATTTATCTTAAACCTGGTAGGCTTGAAACGAATTGTTAACTTCAGTCTCGCAAATCTCTCTGACAGCATAAGATTTTCACATCACGACGATATATATATAAATCAGTACCTTAGAAACTGTATGAAATCTACGTTACGATTTTTTATCTAACTGATTTCAGTAGATCAGAAATTTCACTATATTTTTTTGTTATTAACTTATATATCAGATTACACCGGATAAAACATGCGTACAGTTTACAGCTGAACGTTACTATCCAGTGGCGAATATAACACAGCAGCACAGATGCTCAGCTTATGAATATTATGAACCAGGTAAATGGGTAATATTTTGTTGTTCTTGTCCAAAATTGAATAGAATCGAATAGTGAGTAGTCGATTTTCTTACCTTGAGTTCAGTGTTTCCTTAGACAGCTTAGTTTATGAAGATCACTAATCGATCTAAGTTAGACATCCATTGAGAACTTTCTAGTGAGAAACCGTGATTAATTATGTCGGGTGTGACAAAGGTACCCACCGAAGACAATGGAAAACACTCGCCTGTTATCACGGATTGACTGAAGTTAGACTTGTACATAATTGGATCCCCAATGTCACAATCGTGAGTGTGCATTCTTGGAGAGTCCCATGCTAAGATGAAACAGCTATCCAACGCTTACAGGTTTTCAATGCTTGTCTAACTTGGATATATGCTTGATCTCGATCAAACTCAAAATCGGCACGAAATCCGTACTGAAGAAGCTTACTATTGACAACTAAATTCGGAATAATATCTAAGTTATGGCCACAATTATTTTAAATGGGATCTTTTAAATGATTTCACATAATTTTTAAAATCTTCATGAAATGGTACATTTCCATACAATTTATCATCATATGGATAAAATGGATGTCATTCATTATCGGTTACCATCGAACAAACCATAATCTCTTTTGCTTTAATCTAATCATCACATTGTCGAAACATCATTTGGAGGATCCAATTAACCAACATAAATCGATCACTATAATTTAATAAATTAACAATCGAGAATCGTCCACTAATTAGCACGAATTGATGCGAATTCAAATTGTGGACCATTCTATACCGATTAAGATATCTGGTTCATTAAGTGATTTAAAGATTCTAGGTTTTATCCCGGATTATTAAGCATCTGTATATGTTTAAACTAAAAATCCAAGAAACGAATAAGCTCATCTGAGAAACCATTGAATACTAAACAGTAGTGCTTAGAACAACATTATTTAAGATCATTCAAATAAACTATGAAAAGCAGATAAATAATCAAAAGAAAATGTGTAGAATAAGGTAAACAACATAACTGGAAGACAATGTCTCAACATTAACCTGATCACAGAATGAATATAATTCAATCTTATCACTGTCTATATTATTTTATAAGAGGTTAAACTAAATACTTATAGGTCAAGTCAAAATACAGAAGGAAAATGCTTAGCTTCAGTACATAGTCAGAGACTTCAAAGGATATACAATAATTTACATATAATAATTGTAATGATAGATCTATAGAGAAATTATATTTTAAAAAATTAAGTTAATTGGTTCGTGAGGAAATTATATTCAAAGTATAGTGTTGTGGAAATTATTGAGCTCCATTGAACTTATCAACCAATCGATGTTAGATCACCATTAAAAACCTGAAGGCACTAAATACCCATTTCGTCCTAGTATGAGACTCCTCGGCAGTGCGCATCTATTATCCCACACACGGGAATCGAACCTAGGATTTCCGGTCTCGTGTTAACGTTTAACCTCCAGATCACTGAGCTAGGATCCAACTTTTCGGGTTCCGGCTCCTTGGATTGATTTACGCATGTGAGATCGTGAATGCGCACTACCGAGGAGTCCCATACTGGTCGTAACTTCTCACTGGAACTCTGGGAATTTCCTCTTGAAGCTAGTCACGAGTAATCACATGATGATTGTTAATGTGGGGTTGTGGAGATAATTGAATTTCATTGAAATCACAAACCAATCAAAGTTGAAGCTAGATCTATACACTAGTGCATCGCGTATCAGTGGTCTAGAGATTAGGCGTTCGCACACGAGCCTGAAGGTTCTGGGTCCGATTCCCTCGTGCGGGATAGAGCATGTGCAGTGCTGAGGAGTCCCATACTAGGACAAAATAGCCTCCTAGTTCTTCCAGGTTTTTAGTGGTGGTCTAACACTGATCGGTTCATGATTTCAATGTAGATCATATTCAGCGTTCATCACTTAACATTAACCTATCATTAATAAAGTTGTTTAATTTCACGAATAAATTCTGATAATCTCTGAGGAGTAAATGTAACATTCATTTTACAGACTAGTTAGCTAACTACAATATCAAAGAAGACAATTCAGCCACTTGTTCACAACAGTTTTATTTGGTTAACTATTATCAAGAACTTCAGTCGTCTTTTTAATCATCATTATTAAGTCGTGACTATCTCTCTAAAATTATGAACTTCTGATACTTGGAAAGTTTATAACTCAGTCACCAAACAATACTTTTAAGCTACATTTCCATATAGATTAAGGTAATGGTATATTGATGATTCAGTTTAGATTCAATTTGAAATGACTTTGACTATTCTGCTGTTGATATTTCGACTGAAATATGACCAAACTTGGTTGGCATAGGGGCATCCTGTGTGTATGCTTCAATTTAGCCATTATGAAACAAGTTGATATAGAATAGATGGAACGTGGGATGTAAATGGAATCCAAAACACGCGTCTTGTCCCACTTGGGACTCGTCAGGTGGATATACCTGTGTCCTCCAGAACTTCAACCCAGTACCATCCGCTTCAAACACCATCACGTCATCCACGTAGCTACTAAGATTAAATAGCCACTTGTACTGCGGATACAAGTTATCTGGACTCCGAAGCTAAATGGATAATCTGGTGGCATTTGAACCGACCAATACTGAGTTCGATTTCCGGAGTAGACATCAACTCCAGAATCCAGGCACATTCAGCTGATGACTCCTAGATAGAATTCCACTGCTAGTCACATTCCATCTATTCTATATCAACTTGATTCAATTGTTAAACTTTCATACTGATACTAAACAATTACAAAAAAGTTCACTTAAACGTTTTAGTTAGTCACTAAACTACTTACTCACTTACTTACGCCTGTTACTCCCAACAGAGCATAGGCCGCCGACCAGCATTCTCCAACTCACTCTGTTTTGGGCCTTCCTTTCTAGCTCTATCCAATTGTTGTTCATTCTTCTTATGTCTTTCTCCATTTCTCGGTGTAATGTATTCTTTGGTCTTCCTGTTTCCCTTTGGCCTTTTGGATTCCAAGTGAGGGTTTGCCTTGTGACACAGTTGGGTGCTTTCCTCAATGTGTGTCCTATCCACTTCCAGCGCTTCTTCCTAATTTCTTCCTCCGTTGGGATCTGGTTTGTTCTCTTCCACAGTAGGATGTTGCTGATAGTGTTGTCCTGTCCACGCTATCAAATGGTTTCTCATAGTCATGGAAGTTGATTTAGAGTGCTAAATTCCATTCAATTGATTGTTCCACAATGATCTGTAATGTTGCGATTTGGTTGGTACACGATCGATACTTATGGAATCCAGCTTGTTCATATAATAGTTGGGCGTATACAAAGTCCTTCATTCTGTTTAACAATATCCTGTTGAAGACTTTTCCTGGTATTGAGAATAGAGTGATGCCCCTGTAGTTATCACAGTTGCTGAGATCGTCTTTCTTTAATAGTTTGATCAGAAGTCCTTTCCAGTCTGTTGTTACTTATTCTTCATCTCAACATTTAAGTAACTCTTCATTTTTAAGCCACTCAATAATTAGGATAAACGTTTATGTTTACTTTATTATTCTTAAAAGTAACAATTATAGTTTACTTGGAATATTATTGTTTATCTTTCTGTTATCCATTTATTTATATTTACAGGTCGTTATAATAATTCATTATATAATGTTGTTTCATTATATACAAATAATATCTGTAATGTATGTGGTAGTTTCGCTTGTCCATATTGTCCTGATTATAATTTATCTAAGAAACGTATTAAATTATCAATGTCTATGATTTGTTTAATGTTTTTAATAAGATGGATATTATTCTATATATTCAATGTTCACAATTGATAATGACATGATTTGAAATGATGTATTGTAATTTAATGTTACTTACATACTTACATACTTAAGTCTGTTACTCCCAATGAAGCATTGTAATTTGACGTTACTTACTTACTTACTTAACCCTGTTACTCTCAATAGACCATTGTAATTTGATTATGCTTACGCCTGTTACTCCCCATGGAGCATTGTAATTTGATGTTACTTACTTACTTACTTACTTACGCCTGTTACTCCCAATGGAGCATTGTAATTAGATGATAGGAATATTTTTATTTTCATATATATTCAAAGTATGATCCATTCTACTCCTCATGTTAAACAATTAGACATTATAATTTACATCCAAGTGGATAGTTCAAACCAATTAGAATAGTAGAATACGATAATAGAACTATCATTGACAAATGATGAATATCAGAAGGGGTTTTGTGGATATTATAGTAATTTCAATGGTTGAGATCATGAGTCAGTTGAAGCTGATGAATAGATAAAATCCCATACTTGAATGTTTACAAGTTTTATTAGGGGTTAATTGATTTCTTTTCTTCCTTACACGAACAGTATCAATGTCAAGTTATTGGATCATTATAGGTTTTTATTGAATAAATGATTTCCTAATTTATAGAAATCATCTAGTGTTTTACTACTACTCTTTTTTCTTGCATAAATCTTTTGTGTAAAGATATATATATATACTTTCTCTGATCATCCTTTCACTTCACTTTTCCTTCATTACTTACACTTACATATCAATATGAAATGCTTATATTCAATGAATACAATAAAATCCTATTTCGTTCAATGTTAAACATAAGGTTGATTTCTTATAACCTGTTTTCAGCTCCCTCTATTTTTTCTTCAAAGAGTAAGAAAAAAACAATAACCAAGTAATGTGAAGACATTTTGTTCATATGTACATGTGTGTATGTATATATACATACATGCACTAAATTGTAATAGTTCCAATTCTTTTGTTTTGTTTGCTTCTTTCATTCAACTGCATTTTTCTATATTCAGGATAAGATAGTTACTGTTTTTGTATAGATAAGCAAATGTAGGGGAAAAAATACATATTTTTTTGGTTGTAACTTGGATTTTCACAGTTGAATTGACGAGTAAATTTAAACTGGACAACCATTGAAAACTTGGAAGTACTGGATTTGAATTGTTTCTTTCATATCTGGATCGATTTCCTCATTCATTTTGATATACATTTAGACTTAGTTTCCATTAATGATGTAGAAAGCTAACATGACTTGTAAATGTATGTTAGTGCTTAGTTCTGATCATTGGATTGATCATGTTTTACCTAAAGTATTATAGCAAGTTTGAGAAGAGTATATGGATTTCAGTACAAAAGTTCTACAATATAACGTATCTATCACATAGAATCTGAGATGAATAGGTTGTCAATTTACAGCTGGGTTTTTTTAAATTTATTATAAGATCAGAAGAATTGTATGCTGAGAATTTCATATTATTCTAAGTACATAACATTGAACCGAGCAATTATTGTTTTAATTTTAAAGTAGATTGCACTACGGATGAATCTTAGATAGGTAGGTCATGAATAATCTATCTGGAATAAATGTTTACGACTCATATTATATCATGCCTATTACGAAAGACGAGTGTAGACTACTTACTCAATAAAAACTTGAAAGCCAAAGTTAGACGGAAACTGATTATGGATTAATTCCTACTGCTGATGTTTCGTTTTGATGACGTTGTATAAAACGACAATGAAAAACCTAAATAAAAATGTCTCAAGATACAAGTCTCTCATAACATTCCTCAATCACTTCAGCTAGAAATAGCCCCCAAATGCCCTGGTACGGCCGAGAGTTCGCTCTCCCTCTCGAAATGCTCTCACATGGCCACGCGTATATAGCCTCTTCCAGGGAAGTCCTACTCACTGCCTCCTCGTGGCGGGGGTCTTGTTTACGAAAATGAGAGGACGAAAAGCGAATGTCCGGCGCTTTAACCGGATTCCAAACCAGTGGTGCGCATGGGCTCCAGTATCCTGAGGGAGCAAATGGCGTATGAACCAATCGTTGGTCACCGGCTTCCATGGGACTGCATCTCCTTACGATGCTCCACTGCCTTGTGGATCAGACCTTCAGGTCGAAGGCTCCGGGTGTGACCCCCTGAGAAAACCACCTGCTTCGGTTTGGGCACCCGGGCAGTATCACAGCCCTCACATATATCGAATAAGATTTGTGTGGCGCATATGTATTTAGTGCCTCTTTGTACCGATATCTATGTGTTAAAATAAATAAATAATTTCCGAGAATCTAAGATGAACTTATACTTGCTATTCAATTATACTGGTCAGTCCCAATTGACGTAGAGGCTGACATATACGTGAATTATCCCAAAGACTAATGGACTACTAGATTACGACTTAACGCTAGACATGAAGATCCTAGGCAATAGTTTAGGATTCTGAGTGATTATCACTGAGGATTTCTACGCTATTCGATGAGATCTGTTGAAGAAAAACAAGTAAAACTGCCTTGCTGTGAAAACCAAACAAAATATCACGTTGGTAGTAACAAATGTTATAGATTTCATGAGAAATCTGTAACTCCGAAGTCACCGTTGAGCAAACATTAAGTCAGTTCTCTAAATTCAAGATTAATGTAGAAAACTGATTGCAGCAACAGCAACACGTCGTACGAGACAAACTTATGTGAAGACTTTTACACATTGAAAGCGGTAAAGAGGGATTCAATTTGTAAAATGTAAGGAACAAGTCCTAGATCAAAGCGAAGCCCTGTGCGTTGACTGCCCGACACGTCATAAATAACAAAATAAAAGGAACTACCGAAGTCATATGATGACATGGAACAACAATAAATGGACGGTTATGAGAAATTTTAACATGGAACACCTTATCAAACTTCATCCCAGTGAAACAATGAGAAATCTCCGCAGACATCTAAACCAATTAGGTGGATGAACAATATGCTGGACGCCACACTGAATGATATACAGCGCAATTGCCCGAAAAATAATCTTAAAATAGAACGTAGGGCTGAGGTACAAACCTTCTTCAATCGAGTCTTTTAGACATAGGTCACATATGAACAACCACTAACCATCCTCTTTTGCTCTCCCGGCTAACGTGATAGTATATTTAAAATGGAGTTGGATAGGCAGATCAGTTCATAAAATTACTGTCAGTAGGGTTAAGCCCGTAGCGTGAGATGCATCATACCTGGTTGAGGTCCGTATTATGATCGTAATTTGCAGTTTTAAAATGGCGAGGCAGTCAGATGTAGTCGAATGCCAATCAATGGTAATCAGAAGTGACCCGAAGGACAAGTGCATATCATTGACCAAGAAATGGACTGGTTTTCTAAGACGTAGAGTTATATATATGAGTATTTGTGCATTTTATTCTGTAGCCCAATATACTTTTCTGTCCACTCTTGCGTTCCCACTCAAGCAGTCAAGTGAGGTGAGGATTAACATGTAGCACGTCGTGTATCGATATCAAAATTCGGACATCACTCGTTATGGTCTACAACTCAGTGATAAATTTCGAGTTTTGCTATTTATTCATACTTTCCATTTCCACCGATTTTATACGTTTTCCTATAATTACACTTAGCACATGTAATCCTCTCTGATACTTAGGAACATTACATCGACTTTTCAGCATTTAGCCTAGTTAATTTCGTCTTGTTTTCTGATATCAAGCTCGGTACCTTGATCGATTTGTACATCTATGTCATAATCTAAGTTATATTTAACTAAATAGGTTGGATTAACTTTATTCAGATTAACGATCCACACATTGTAAGAGCATAACATTCTTCACATTTAACACCAGTCTACTAACCAAGTTCCTTATTATCATTTACAATTGAACAGTATTATTTTCTCTAAAATAAAAACTGACTTGCATACAAATTTCCAATTTATAGAATAAACAGACAAAAAACTGAGATCCTATCGAACAATCAAACTAATCTCAATTTTAATTAAGGCCTTGAGGAGTATAGTAACAGTAAAGTATAGAGAGATACATTTAGGAGGAATGAGATAGATATGGGAGGGGGAAAAGATTGGAAGAACAACCGACAAATTGATAAATCGGGTAATAAGAAGTGTAAACAAAATGAATTACAAAGAGAATAACAACAAGAATAGGACAGTTTTTAAAATAAAAACTCAACGTTACAGAAATCTAGTGGGAAACGGCGAAGAAATATTTTAAAAAAACGAAACGCAGTGGAACGTACACGTAGGCGTATACTTACTACACTTAACTTATTTGTATTTTAGTTCCACAATACAAGAAAAGAGGAGAAACAAATTGTGGAACTATAAGACTTAAAGTATAGAAGATGCATAAAACAATAGTTATGTGAAATGTATAATTTAATAGTGAAAAAATTAACATTTAACTGAACAACAAATCAATCTAGAAACAAACATTAACTTTGTTCATCATGTAAACATTCATGGATAAATGCAAGGGCATACAGAAAGAAGAGATCTAATTTACATACCATACCCAACTAAGGTATGAATTTTGGAATATGGATAATATTCCCTTGAAGAAAGAAGCATTTAGAGGTGACAGATAAAACAGGTAAGTCTACAAGATATTTTGTTTGGTATAATACTAGTCACGTTTTTTATCACCTGAAGATGGTGTTTGACGATTGGCAGCGTCACGTAGACCACTTGAATTGAAACTGTTTGCATTACTATTAGGTAAACCTTGACTGCTTTGTCCTGTCCCCGTACTAGTTGAAGAGAAATTTGCATTCCCAGTCATATTGGCAGTTGATGAAGAGGTTGTTCCACTAACATTTGACAAATTTGAAGGCATAGCTTCAGATGCCTTGCTACGACTACGTTCAAAAGCACTACGAATAGCGTCGACAGTACCACCAAACAACAGCTTACAAACAGCATTCTCAAACGGTACAAATGGATCTTTTAAGCCCAGTAGAATCATAGTAATTCTGAAAATGAAGAAGTATACAGACACTTCAAGATTATTACAACAACTATGTACGACTGTTAATCAATCAGATAAAAACTAAATAATTTAGGTAGAAAAAAGCACATCACAAAGGGCGTTTGCAAATCACATACGCAATTACACTTGCCATATAAATAATTTTAATTCACATACTTCTGAATGTATTGGACTAAATGATCATTATTAAGCACTAAATACATGAAACACTTTAGTAATTGGATCAAAATTTTGTTATTTCATTAGATATTCGTCACTTAATTCAAAACGATCGGTAAATGATATTGATGTTAAAACTTCAAGCAAACAATCGCTATAGAACTTCGTACAAGTGTTTTTGAATATATAAGCATAATGTTACGAGTCTTTTTGAAAGTACTAACTTTTGAAATTAAAACATTCACATGAATACTTAAGCTATTGAAAATGAAAAATACTTTAAAACTATTTACACTAACATCACTAGACTTATTTTTTACTTTGAATTTTGAGAACAATGTGTATGCTACTTATGTTGACAGATATAAGTAGTATGTAACACAGTCGGAAATGGAATGTATGTCTGGCGAAGATTGGGAAGATTAAATTGAAGAAAAAACAGAAAGGGAAATATAAAAGAATTGTAATAACAACGAAATTGAAAGAATCAGGAATCACGTAAAAGACAACTGATGGAAGATGTGCAAATCATGTACCTAATGTAAGGTTTACTTATTTTATGAAAGTAATCTGTAATTTTACATTAAACGATAAATTGATCTTCTCCACCTGAGTGTTCGTTCGCTACAATAATATCTGTGAAACAAAATTCAACATTGTAATTATATATTCATATGATAAATATTTCCAAGATATTCGACAACTCAACACACCTTTCAAGATAAATAATGAGTTTCTAGACACTTTGGATAGAATATGACACGTCGTAAAAATATAAAGGGTTTGAAGAATTCATTGTTATATACAATTAAGATCATATGAATCATTCCAAAAGAAAAAGAACAAACAAGTCAGTCACTAGGGTAACACAAACATTCGACCAAAGCAATTTGATATAATAGTCCACATCAGACAATAGATAAAGGGGTTGTGAAGATCATTGATCGATTGAAGTTAGACACTAACACTGTTAGATGCCAGCTCAGTGGTCTAGAGGTTAAGGGTTCACGCGCGAGACCGAAGACCCCGGCTTGGAGTCCCGCGTGCGGAACCGTGGATGCTCACTACAAGAGTCCCATTCTAGGACGAAACGGCCGTCGGTGTTTTGAATGGTGGTCTAGCTTAGACCAACTCATGATTCCAACTTCCCAAATCCCCATACCGAAAAATATGGAATTTAGAGAATGGATTTATGATGCCAACCATATCAGTTCTAAACTAAACAATTGTATACAAATGTTTTATTCACTCACTAACATACCGTTTAACCTTTCCATAGAGTTTACCAAAATGAAATCTTTAATGTTTGCAAATGTTGTATGAAAATTTGGTTGAGGAAAATGAACTTTTTCATAATCATAAATATTAAGCAAACAAGAAAAAATGATTAAAAAAACAAAGTTTTCTAGAAAAAAATACAGGGAGAGAGTGAGGAATACAAGCTAGAAAAAATACACTGAGAATGAATTATGCTTACATAAAATTTAAAGCAACGAACTATGAACGTTATTAGCTTACCTGAGGTAAACAAACAAAGTCATTATAACTAGGAATAATTGATTTTCCGGTAACGGTATTATATCCAAATGGTGACAATAATATGCAATAGCGGCAAGTAACGAAATTTTTGTAGTGCTAAAACATTTTATTAACAGAAAAACAAAATAGAAATGATTAAATATTATCTAGGAACCAGGAGGAATAAACTATAAACTACTAAGAGCTAACACATCTCCCATTCCAGGTAGGTCCATGCAGAAAGTCATGCGTTGTTTAGAGAAACTAAATCTTACAAAGTGGGATGGAGAAATTCATTAGTTGCTGGTAGCCATACACCACGAACAAGACGCTGTATTAATTTCATCTCACAATAGCCTGCACCTATATTATTGGAAAGAAAGGATGAATGGTAAATAGGATATAGGCAAAACAACAATAACGGAGTATATCTAGTGATGCTTTTTAGAACACAGATATAGTCAATAGTGATATATCATGTAATCACGATGCTATATATACGCCCAAACAGTAGGAATGTAACATGCCTGTACATTATCCGGCAGCTCATTAAGTTTTGGTTCATGCATAGTTGAATGATTGAATAGCTCTCCAGAACCCTTTTTTTATTTTTGAAATGAACATTATGTATTATCATGCTATGTGGCTTCATCACTGTTTACTAGGAGGAGAGGGCGGCTCTCTTCCGATGAAAAAAATGTCCGTCAAATTATCCAGTGTTTGCTACGATAAGAGCGTACGACAGTGAGAAATAAAGCTAATCTATCAATCCACTTAAATTCTCAGCCTATATATTAGTGGTCGAATTTAGACTCGATAGATAGGGAATATTTATGCTAGTGGATGACTAGTTGCTACCTGGTCATTTGAAAAATAACCTTGAACCAGATCTCTAGCTGATGATTATGATAAGTAGTAGAATGTGTTCGGTTTAAAAATTGCCATATTTGGTAATAACGGGGGAAATCAATAGGAATGGATGTATTAGGATAATATAAAAACGAAATAGATCAAGAAAGACTAACAAATAAGGAGTAGCAAAACCTTTCAAATAACAGAATATTTATAATATCCCAATGAGTAGAAAATTGTGTCGACTCTTTTATTTATTCTCTGGAAAAGTTGGTTATACTAAGTCGCGAGATATCAAAAATTCAATTTGCTTACTCACTGGAATGTTATAAGTATATTGCTTTACTACAAACAATCCTCTGAAAGCTCAATTTATATGAAATTATCAAGTCGAAATTTGGTAATAATACTTGAAAACCATTAAAGTCTATTTGTCTATTTCAATGATACAATCAAAGAATATCAAATATACCGTTTCGCTATTTTATTTCCGAATATGTAAAGATTAGTTTGATAACAAAAGAATAAAAAATGCAAAACAACGAATAAAAAAGCACATAATTTTAAGCCTTTTGAAGTATTACACCAATAGTAACCCAAACTATACACCACGATGGCACAATAGTTTACTAGTCGTAAAGAATAATTTAAAGGTAATGATTTAATTTTATTGCGAAACCTAATGAGCAAAGTAGTTTGAATCCGTCATCAACTGATCGAAAACTTAGTGAACAAACCAATGTGCAACAACCTATATTTTCCAAAGTAAAATACAATGACGGATTACTTTCCCTGGTCATATATTACTTTATTCAGCTCCTACTTTTTATTACTTACACTAATTAAAGCTGATACTTTGACTTTTGAAAAATGTATACACATACCATCCAGTTCGGCACACACAAGACATTATTTCCAACTTTGAAAGTCGTAAATCCTTGCATTTTACAGACCTGACTAATCTGTCTGTATAAATGACTTACGCAGCATTATAACTGTCAGGGTCACGTACCATTTTAATAAATAACAGCAACCATTCATACTCAACATTATTGATTTCCGAACCATCTAAAAACTGCAGTCAGTTTTTAGATAACACTGAGTTGTGGACTGAATGGTAGTTGAGTTCATATAGCCAAACATCTTTGTCTTTCTGACAGTTAGTCATAAACAACATAAAACTTATTGCAAATTTACATCAGTTTAACTGGCCATATCTACCCAAGGAGATCAAATTATCAAGATGAGTACCAAATCAATGATATCAACGATAACAAAAAGGATTAAGCATGTAGAATATGCTTCTGGAAGGAATTCGAGGAATAAGAAGTGCAAATTAATTTCTGAACTTAAAATCTAGGGACAGACGATTGATTGATACTGAGCTATCTTTTCAACAGCCCAAGCGGTAGAATGGATATTTTTAGATGTTTATAAGAAGTTCGCATTGGTAAATGAGCTACTGGTTTGAATCTTGTGGTTAAATGTAGGCTTTTAAGCTGAATTTCATTAGACACTTTAAGTTAAGTGCTTAATGGAATGATTTAGTCTTCGTGAAGTAAATTATCTAGTCGCCTAGTATAATATTTTTTTTAATTATCGATCAAGTTCTATGTTTTAATGGTTTAGTTTACTTACTAACAACCTGAGGTAAAAATTAGATGTTGAATTACACGTAATGAAGGTCAATGTAGTATTGTACCAAGTGGTAAGAGTATACTATACTAAAAAACCAATCACAGTTAAGACAGGGTGGCGGTACCATAACCTATGGACGGATTAGTCAGATTCAAAATGCCTCTTAAACTTTTAAGCAAAATTCATACATCCGTAAGGCTACAAAGCATTCTTGTATTATAGCTGGTCATCAATTGTGAGAACGCGAATCTTAATTCCTAACCCCAACCCAACTGCTAGTTCTTAGCCCTCACCTTTTTTCGTTTACTGAAATCAATAATTGATTATGTACATGTTAATTAATAATGCCAAAAATGTTCGTCCGTCTGAATTTATTACTTATATTATAAATCGCTAAATAGCTGAAAACACTCTCCTGACCGGCTGATAAGTCGTTTAATATTGTCAGTACGGTATACATTTACCTAAACAGTTAAAAGAAACCAACGGATTGATGACAGCAATTTGGTTGCAACTTCTGTTGCAACTAAATATCGAACCGAGCTAGCTTCTAGGCTAGCAACCATCCCACCGGAAAGTATAGATGAGCACGGGTTGCAAATTCATGACGCCATCAAAATGGCGAGTAAAGCCGCTTGCGGCTTCGCGAAATGTCCCACTTATAAGTACTGGGTTTCTTCAGGCTCCGTACAACTCGTCGAAGCCCGTCGGTCTACTCCGGGTGACCGTGAGTCTGACCACAAACGAAGGCTGTTACGTAATGAAATCGGGCAAAGCTTGCGTAAGTACCGAGAAGCCTGGTGATCGGAGCGTGCTGCATCTGGTAACTACCGGAAGCTCTTCCAACTCATCCGAGCCACTGACAGCAAGAAGTCTGGTGTGAACAAAACAATCTGCAAGGATGACGGAATGCCAATCACTAACATCCACCAACGTCTTGGACGATGGGCAGAATTCTTCGAAAGGCAGTTCAACTGGCCTGCTGCTCCGGCAACATCGGTCAGACTGTCCTGCTCTCCATGACTGGTGATGACTGATCAAACAAATTAGGCGGAAGTTCGCAAGGAACTCCAACTCTTGAAGCGCTACAAATCACCTGGCCCAGATGGCTTACCTCCGGCTCTTTTTAAAAATGGTGGTGACTTTCTGACTAAGGAATTGACGACGTTGTTTACAAAGGTTTGGGAACTAGAGAGTGTACCAACGTCATGGAATGAGTCGATAGTTGTCCCTATCTTTAAAAAGGGTTCACGTCGTTCCTGTAACAACTATCGGGGGATGAGTCTACTTCCGATTGCGTCCAAGCTATTGGCTTCCGTCATACTTCGTAGGTTGTTCAAAACCAAAGAAAGATTGACTCGCGAGGAGCAGGTTTGGTTTCGCTCTGGTCGAGGATGTACTGATCATATCTTCACCCTCCGCCAAGTATTAGAACACCGCCATACTTATCAAAGGCCAACAATCGTAGTGTTTCTTGACATCAGGGCTGTCTTCGATTCGTTGGATAAGACTGTTCTCTGGGATTGTCTATTGAAGAAGGGTGTGCCTGAGAAGGTTATTAACATCCTAAAAGCCCTATACACAAACACCTCAGGCAGAGCGAGGGCATACAACCACCTCTCTCCATTGTTCCATTCGAGCAGTGGGGTTAGGCAGGGTTGCCCAATCTCACCATTCCTCTCCAACTTTGCCATCGATGACATTCTGGAAACAGCTCTGATGAATGTAAGTAATGGTGGTGTGGATCTGTTGCCTGGAGAAAGACTTCTCGACCTTGAGTATGAGGATATTGCCTTACTGTGTGATAATGTCAAAGCCATACAATCCTCACTTAATCAGTTGGCAATCAATGTCCGTAGGTACGGTATGCGCTTTGCACCTTCGAAGTGCAAAGTGCTTCAACAAGACTGGCAGGATTCTAATCCTGTACTCATCCTGGATGGTGAGCAGATAGAAGTAGTCGAAAAGTTCGTGTATCTAGGTAGCTACATAAGTGCTAGTGGTGGCATCAGTGATGAGATCAATGCACGTATAGTGAAAGCCAGAGCGGCTTCTGCCAATCTGGGCCATCTTTGGCGCCTTTATGAGGTCAGTCTGGGTGTAAAAGGTCGGATCTACAACGCATCGATGAGAGCAGTTTTGCTCTATGCTTGTGAAACCTGGCCTCTCCGAGTTAGACGACTCCCTGTGTTTGATCATCATTGTCTCCGAAGGATTGCTGACATTCAGCGGCAACACCATGTCAGTAATGCAGAGGTTCGGCATCATGTGCTCAGGCACAGAGACGATAATTCAATTGGTGTCACCATCTTGAAACACTAACTTCGGTAGCTTGGACATGTTCTACGAATGTCGTTCCAAAGAATTCCACGTCGTGCATTATTTGCCGACTCTGGGACTGGTTGGAAAAAGCGGAGAGGTGGTCAGTGCATGACATGGTGTCGTGATATGAAAGAAAACTGCAGAGGGCTGGCTTCTGTTGGACCTTGACGACTCCCTGGTTGGGGTCCGAGAGATAGTGCGACACAGTGGCTAGAGACGTTATCAGATATGGCTCAGAATAGAAACCAGTGGTGATCCTGCTGTAACCTTCTTTTACTTTCTTCATAAAAAGTGGTTGTATCTTCCTTAACTGAAAGATTTCTTCTGGTTGCACCTTTTCGTTTCCTCCATTATTATTATTATTATTATTATTATTATTATTATTATTATTATTATTATTATTATTATTATTATTATTACACTACCTTAAACTAATCTGGTCGTTATTATTCTTTCTTTCTTTGACGTACCTTACCTTCTTTTTTTCTATTTCCGTTCCCATTGTTCTGTGTGCGCTTATATATTTGGTGCCCTCTTGTACTAATAATTATGTGTTCAAATAAATAAATAAATAACAAAAGAAAAAGTTTACAAAAACCCAATGGGGATTGAAAGTTAAAGGACAAGTCAAGGCGTATCATCAGTACATGAAGTCTTTGAATGTTGGATGGAGTCGTGTTGGCAGGTCAGTCAGTCAGTAACAACGTAGAACTTCGTACGTACATACATCAGTTCGAGTTGCCACACCACATTAGCACAGAGATACAATTGTCGATTCAAATCTCATGGTGGTAGAGGTAGTAAAAGTATAAGCAGTAATCGGGAAGATTAGGGTTTAGAGATGTTATTTAAAGAGTATAATCCAGTGAAATAAATTTGGAAAGAGGAAAAAAGGGACATAAAGAATTCAGAAGATTAGAATTTGGGAGAACACAAAGAGTGGATGCACCTGCGCCATTGCAAACGATTTTGAGCCATGTCGTTCAGGGTCTCTAACCATCGGTTGCTATTATCTCGCGGTCCCCAACCAGGTAGTCTACACCTACCAACATCACTCAGACCACTTGTCAGTGACTTCATGGACTTGTGCCATGTTTTGGTCTGGCCGCCACTAGCTTTCTTCCAACCTACTCACATACCATTGAACATCGCACGTCGAGGCAGTCGGTCGTTGGGCATACGTAACACGTGTCCCAGCCATCTCAACTGATGAAGTTTCACTACTTCATCAATTAATTTGCCATCCTTACCTAGTACCCGTTTCCTAACAACTGCATTACTTACTCGATGGTCCCATGATATACGAGCAATGTTTCGCAGACACCTATGACCGAATACTAGTAACCTACGGATATCCTCTACTCTTACCGGCCATGTTTCACTGCCATAAAGTAGGACGGAACGAACTGCTGCGCAGTAAACCCGTCCTTTGGTTGATAGACGGATATCTCGCCTGCGCCATAAATGACGTAAGTTGGCAAAAGCTAGTCGAGCCTTCTGTATCCGTGCTGAGATTTCGTCACACACTAAACCACAATGGCTGATGAGACTTCCAAGATAAGTGAAGCGGTCGACACACTCAACTACTTCACTCCCTATCACTAGTTCGGGTGTCAAAGTAACCCAATCCTGAAGCAACATTTTGCATTTCGAGGGAGAGAATCGCATCCCGAACATGCTTGCATTGTTGCTTAGAGTGGTCAGAAGACTCTGCATTTTGTCAGCGTCTTCACCAAATAAAACTATGTCATCAGCATATTCTAAGTCAACAAGTGAACCTCCCGGTAGAAGTTCAACCCTTGGAAATTTATATGAGGAGAGTGTTATCTCTGAAAGTATGTCGGTCACAAAGTTGAACAAGAATGGGGAGAGTGGACAGCCCTGACGAACACCATTTGAGGTAATCAATTCTGATGACAGTTCGCCATAAGCTCTCACTCTACCAGTTGTGTTCGAGTAGAGAGCCTTTATAAGGTTAATGTACTTCTTGGGTACTCCTTTCAGTGACAAACACTGCCATAGAACCTCACGATCAACAGAGTCGAATGCCGCCTTAAGGTCGAGAAATACTACTATTGAGGGGCATCTGAATGTGTGTCTGTGTTCTAGAACCTGACGTAGTGTGAATATCTGATCTATACAACCACGTCCAGGTCGAAAACCGGCCTGGTTTTCTCTAATCTGCTCTTCACGAGCTTTGATTAGGCGTCGAAGTATTATTGAAGCTAATATTTTAGACACTATATTAGTCAAACTGATTCCTCTGTGATTGTCACAAGAGGACTTTTGTCCTTTCTTATAGACCGGCACAATCAGTGATTGAGACCAGTCAGATGGGATTACGTCCAGTTCCCAAATTCTACCTAAGACCTCGGTTAATCTCATTGCTAATACTGGACCACCATCCTTAAAAATCTCAGGAGTAGGTGCACACTACCTGACGGGTATGTACACCTGTCATAACCAATGGCGGGTGACGTTGGATGACACTGTTTAGAATCAACTGCAGTGAAGCAGGTGCACTTACTGACTATGACTGGCTAATTAATGTAGATAAAATAATATAAAGGCGACTTAAACAGATGAACCCCATGTTCTTTTAGAAGCATACTACTGAGCAAAAGAGCCATATCAACCATGAAGTTCTTCAGCAACCTATGGAACATCATCCAGCCAAACACTGTGACATGCACCTAGCGAGATTCCGAAAACCTACTTCAGATTGATCATCAATCCTTTAAAATACGTATTTCAGGTTTTAACGTTAAAAAATACTAGATGGACGAAAAATTTGCTAAGACTAATCAGGAAAAAAACAAAGCAAACAAACTTCCCCATTGTTTCTCAGTCCCTACGCAAAATCTAAGTCTACTAAGGGCAGTTTATAATGGCTAAGATGGTAATTAGTTTGATCATATGCACCTCATTCACGATCGTGGAAGCAAAGCAGGAGTACAGTGTATCAGGATGAACTGGGCAGTCTATATTTGTTTCAGGTTACACATTAAGAAGTTAAAGTTTAGTTAAGTGTAAATTAAATCATATACGTATGCTATCCTAAAAAGCCATTTAACAGAGTCCGTATGATCTAAATGGCTAGAATCAGCTTCGCGTACAGAACCAAGAAGCTCCCAATGTAAATCCGACTTAACAAACACTTAAAACAAGACCTGACTCACAAGTTGACAATTATAAATGGATTGTTTTTCCGATCCCAGATACCCAAAACATAATTCGAAACAGGACGCATATATAGACTACCAACACCTACAAATATCAGTTTGGATATAAAGATGTATCATTCAGCTTGCAATACTCACCCTTCAAAAGACCTAGGAGAACACACATCACAGGCGAGTTTGGGAACAGATGAAGACCATGATGTACACCAATAAAAATCTTTTTCGCTCTCTGAACCTCCTTTAATGAGCACACCAGTAGTCGAACAGGTAGTATTTTGCAAAACCGATACAGAAGATCAAATGGGAAATAATTTATGAGATACCTAAGGAGAATTATAGACAGTAAAAACATACCATACAACAGTAGCCGTTAAAACGGAGATTGTGTCATCAAAACATTCGAACAGAGGTGATCCTGTGATGAAATTAGAAAGGATGGCCCCTCCAAAACACATAAGCATAGTAGCTAACCAGCACGAAAATGGATGACGTCTCGAGAAACTTACAGAGCCTACACATAACACGCTAAGTTAAATACATACCAGATTGAGGAGTATCTTCTTTTACGGATATACTCATCAAAATGTAATTAGCGATATCAAAATACGGATACATCCGCAGCTTGAATATAGAATTGGCTACATCATCGAAGATGATGGGATTCATCTCGAGAGAAATATACGCGACCTCTAGAGTTCGAATTCAAAACGTCACTACGGCGCCAAGGTCACTCAAATGATTCAAATGGTTCAAACGGTTGTGGACGGAATAGAAGAAGCTTTCGCTTAACAGGCTTCCGTGTCTAGTAGCAGGGGATCACCAAATCCTCCAGGCAGGAACCTAGGTATGTTAACAGTAAAAGAGGAAAAGAAATTGGTAAATCATAATGTGATGCTGTCCTTGGTCATTAAGAATAGGTCAAGTTGCCTCTTCAAGGACTCCTGAGAAGTCGCTTGGACTAGCTCGGCCGGCAGCGAGTTCCAGCTTTTGACAACTCTTAAAGAGTAGAAGTTGTGTCTACATTCCGTCTTGCTATGTTGTGTTTCCAGTTTCTGGGTGTTACCCCTTAGGTTATTATTCGAACTAAGCTTAAGTAGGTGTTTAAGAGGATGTCCAGAAGTGTTAAGAATACTATAAGCCATTAATAAATCACCTCTGAGACGCCTGTACTCTAATGGGTAAAGGTCTAGTGAATGGAGGCGTTCTTCGTAAGGTTTAGATTTGAGTCCTCGAACTGATTTCGTGGCTCGCCGTTGGATATACTCCAAAGTGACCTTGTCCTTTTGGAGTGAGGGGGGAGTACTATGTTTCCGTACTCTAAATGGGAACGGATGAAACTATTGATGATTGTATGGAAACTTCTTCCGTCAAACTGTCCAAAAATGCGCTTCAACGTTACCAGTGCAAGGTTTGCTCGGAAGGCATTTTTGTCACAGTTAGCGTAAGACTTTAAATCATGGGGCACCAGGACTCCTAAATCTTTTTCGACTTGGGATACTACTAGAGAGGAGTTTCCTAAGTTATAACTGCAGTTTGCGACATGTCGCAGATGGACTACTTTACACTTTGAAGTGTTAAAAATAAGTCCGTTATCGTCTGCCCAACTTTGAAGTTGGGTCAGATCCTCCTGAAGTGCCTGTATATCGTCTTGGTTGCGTATCTCTCTCCAAAGTTTCACGTCGTCGGCAAAAAGTAATAAGTCTGACGTTACCTGTTGAGGAAGATCATTTATGTAGATCAAGAAGAGAAGAGGCCCTAGTACTGAGCCCTGGGGGACCCCACTAGGACATTCCATAGCTTGAGATAAAGTGAAATTAACCCTAACCTTAAAGTGTCGATTTTTTAGGTATGAAGTAAGCCAGTCGATTAGAGGTGGTTTGATACCTAGTCGTTTGAGCTTGTTGATAAGACACAAGTGGTTAACCTTATCAAAAGCTTTTGAGAAATCAAGGTAAATGATATCAATCTTTCCCTTGCGATCGAGGATGCTTGTCCATCTGTCCATCGCAGTCAGCAGGTCGGTTATACAAGAGTAACCCTTCCTGAAACCATGCTGTTGGGGTGAGAAGAAATTTAAGGACAGTAGATAGTCATTTAAACCGTCGCATATCAGGGATTCCATGAGTTTTGAAGGTAATGACAGAAGAGCCACCGGCCGATAACTTGAAGGTTCATTGCGTTGGCCACCTTTGAAAATTGGTGTGATGTGAGCCAACTTCCAGTTTTCCGGTAATTTGCCTCGGCTAAGCGAGTGTGAAAACATCACGCTAAGCGGCGTTGCCAGGATTGAGGCTGCCTCCCTCAGTATGGCAGGATGAACCATATCCGAGCCAGGAGAAGTATCTAGTCTTAAGTGCTGCAATTTACGGAACACTAAGTCAGCGCTTAGGTTCACTTGGGAGAGTCCTGTGGAATTGCAGATGAAACTGTCGTCAGTAAAGTTGATGTCAGCCGGTTGAACTGTTTGAGAGTAATGTGCCGCCAGAAGGTTATCGGCGTCGCCATCGTTGTTGGTCGGGCCGTTTAGACCTAGCAGTTGAGAAACTCCTGTTTTGGCTTGACGAAGAGAGGCTGCATAACGGAATAGGCTTCTAGGGTTAGAGGCAGATTTGTCCATAAGCTTTGTCTGGTACTGAAGCCTGTCTTCTCTTATAGCCTTCGTGCATATGTTCCTGATATGTTTATATTGTCTATACGCTCCGTCGTTATCAGTTCGTTTGTATTCCGCTCAACAGTGCCTTTTGCGGCTTAGCAGGCGAAGGGTACGGTTCTTGATTACTGTAGGTGGCTTGCAGCTTTTGGAAACCGTTTGAGGAATTGAATGGTTTGTAGCACATAAGAGCGTGTGCAGTAAGAAGTCCCAATGACCGTCCACATCGAGTTGAGGGTGAACATCCCAAACAACCTGTTGTAGATAGTCATATAGAGCTGGCACATCAGCCGTTTAAAATTCCAACGCAAATTATTGTTGGGATACCTTAGCTTAGTTTTGATGACAAAACTGAAGGCTATGACGGCATGATCGCTCTTTCCCAGAGGAGCCAGGATTGAGAGGTTGTCAACTAGGAATTCTTCGTTTGTGAATATGTAGTGGCATTGGACAATAGCCACACAATCCACAAAGCTGTGAACACGAGACTACTCAGAAAATAGATATTCAATATTTAACGCGGAGAAATACCTAACAATGGAGAAGGCGCGAACAAGGAATTGAATGGACTGGAGTTGATCGAGTGGCATGGCTCGTCCATGCAGACGTGGTCCATCTCAGTGTTACTTTATATCTTCTATTCATATTAAATATATTGTTCTTTCTCTAGCCTAACCTTGTTCCTCATCATGTATTGGTAATTGATACGATACAGTGAGTTGGTGTAGTCGATGGTGTGACTTCCACGTAAGATCTTATAGATTAGGCAGTTATATCATGACAAATCGAAAAGTTTAGGATTAGGTTTATTATTAGAGCAGTACTAATATCATAGTAGACCATAATTCTACAAATACACAGTCTAAGCGCGACGGTGTCTGACTGTAATACAAAATATTCCTTCTAGTCAGCCCGACAATAATACGTTGAGGAATTTTTTCCCGTGTCTCACAAGTGTTTACTAAAACGGATTCCACAATCGTTTCTGCTGCTGTAATTCGTGAGCGCATAGTACTTGGTGACATTCATTGTTTTGAACAATTTGACGATCCTGAATCCATGAGATTGTAAAATTATGGTCTACTATGATATTAGTACTGCTCTAATAATAGACCTAATCCTAAAATTGTAGATTTGTCATGATATAACTGCCTAATCTATAAGATCTTACGTGGAAGTCACACCATCAACTACACCAACTCACTGTATCGTATCAATTACCAATACATGATGTAGAACAAGGTTAGGCTAGAGAAAGAACAATATATTTAATATGAATAGGAGATATAAGATAACATCCAGCAGGGACCACGCCTGCATGGACGAGCCATGCCACTCGATCAACTCAGTCCATTCAATTCATTCTCTGCGCCTTCTCCATTGTTAGGTATTTCTCCGCGTTAAATATTGAATATCTATTTTCTGAGTAGTCTCGTGTTCACAGCTTTGTGGATTGTGTGGCTATTGTCCAATGCCACTACACTACTCTCCTACCAGAATCAACGTGATGTTGGTTCGATACCAAATTGGGTGGGATGGTCGCGCGCCGGAGGTTACCAAGGATAATAAGGATCCTCCAGGTATTGATAAGCTGAAAGATAAATCAAAAAGAAAGCGGCAGCATCTGGTCGGGAAATACATGTAATAATCTTAAAATATCTGCTTTCATGATTAACACGCTTAAAATGAAAATTTGGTTGAAGATTATTTGAACTATAAAAATGGGATTACAATAATAATAACAATAAAACGATGCGTGTTAATAACTTAACTTATAGGTAGTAATTATTTTGTGTTTAGAAATATTAAAATAATGAATATTGTAGAAATGTTAATATTGGTATTAGTTTTGGTTTAAATTATGAAATCAGATAACGATTATGCCGGTAAGTTGTCCATAAGAGTTGAATTCCAATTGCATCTGTATTAGTAGGCTAACTGAAGGAACAAAAGTATACCGTGGAGAAGAATTCCAACTAGTGTTCCAGTTAGTTTGATACGGTTTATTTAGTTACGGGTAGATTTTCTCAACCTCATTTTTACTTGACCGTGATAGAATTTATTAATACTACTAATACACATGAATGTTTATCAAAACAAAATTTAAATACGTAAGTGATGATTATATGAATTTTGGACAGATAGCTAGAAACAAATCGTTAAACATGAGTGTATTCGTAAGAGACATGCTCTAGACTCAATGTTCTGATCTGTGGCAGACTATTTATTTATATTTATACTTGCTGGATGATTGGGCATACAAGTTAGTTGCAAGTATGCAGTTTATTATAAGTCGGAATACGATTTAATTGAGATATAGTGGTTATAAGTTATTAAAATCAGTTAAGCCTATGGGTCATATTACGAAGTGATGTGGTGCTGCAAGATGTATTTAGCTAAATAAGTTTTTACAAGATGATTAATGGTGAGTGATGCTCATGTGATTATCAGGGAGAACATAATTTGTAACCAGGGGGAGTACACTCCCAACTCATGTCTATGATAATGGCTTGAACCTTAGTCAGTGTTGGGGTAAATTCGACATTGATGTTTTCAGTTTGCAGGAGATTCGCTCGACTGCTTATACTGATTATTTGCATGCATGATTGTGTCGCTATACCATCAATTAGACTGACAAGGTTTTGAGATATTTACTGAATGAGCAACTGATAGAGAAACCTATTGTAATCATCTGTAGTTAATGAAGATAAAAGAAAAACAACACTAGTGATAATTATAAGTCAATTTGCTGATCGATTTTGTTAATAGTTTCATTAATTTTATCAATCATATTACGTGATTGTCAAGTCATGACAATGCTTTATGACGATATCCTGGAACTATTATGTTTAACTAGTTATAGTGTTGAATGAGAATTAGTCAGTGGAAAAATAGGTATTGTTGCTTTAGGTGATTCAAGATTATCAGAAATTTGTAGCGTTAAAGAATCCGAGACGCCTAATTTAATTATAAATTTTATATCAGAAAGATTCGTTTAGTGTTAATTCTAGCAGGC